CTCAGTAGAGAAGAAAAAGAATTGGAGACCTTGTCAATCAGCAGTGTTGAGGAGTCCCTTGGATCACACTGTGCTGCAGCCTCTACAAACACCCCTGTCTCACCACGTCTGATCCAAGAAAGGAATTCACAAACTCTTCTGAACTGTCTGAAATAGCCATTCAAAGGAATACAGGAATGCCAAGACTATATTCAAATATTTAACAGGGAAGTACATCCAAAGCTTTTGTTTTATGCTCAAGTGAGGTGTTTCCCTGTAACTTTTGGCTGCCCAAGATCGCATCAGCTTCACAGTTTCCTTCCTGCATTTAGTTGGAAATTGCTTTAAAGGTAAGGAGTATTTTACTCTCCTGAAGAATACGACAGGGAAATGGGAAGAAAAATCCATCCTCCCCAGGGAGAGTGGGGAATATAGGAAATTCTGCTGCCAATTTTGAAAGGGAATGCACAATGCATACCCAAATAGGCAAGGAAATACCTCTTTGAAGGAAGCCACGCAGAGCAGGAGCCTGGGGAGGTAAGCAAGCATGCTGGAGGGAAAACAAATGGATTTCACTTGGAAACCAGCCTGGTCCTTGTCAAACTTACCAATAAAACTGACATGTTCCTGCAGACTGAGTTTGCAAGATCTGCATGTCTTGATGGGAAAAAAGTACCGATAAGAAAATTTAGCAACATTAATTCTAACATCAGTTAAAGAAAACTGAAAAACCTATTTTTTTCCTTTTATTTTCCAAGCATGTATATAAACCAGGCAGAAATGTAGGGCTTAAAAAAACCCCTCAGTTGATGGAATTAGTGTCAGGAATTAGTTCAGAGATTAGTGTTAGGGAGTTATATGAACTAAAAAGTTGCTAACACTAAGTGGCATCATAGGGGATTAGAAAACAAAATGCTTACAAGTAAAGCAAGAAGTCAGCCTGCAAAACCCATCCAGAACTTCAGAAGAGACTTCTAACCAAATTAATTAACATAACAGCCCAGAAAGAGCTCCAGTAAGGAAGTAGGTTTCTACAAGAAGAATATTTTCTTTTAAGACAGCTTTAGTATTAAGGTCAGCCTCTGGTGATACCTACCTCAAATTAAAGTGGAATAAAAGAAAAAAAACATCTAGAAGGGTCTCCAAAGGCCCATGTTTTATTTCAGTGTAGATGCAAGTGGTTATCACTGATTTCCTAAAAGGTTTAAGCATCTTAAGGGCCAAGACTGAGCTTTTTAATTTCTAACTTTTGGGTCCTTCACATGCATGTTTTAGTTACACTGATGTGTAAAAACTAGAACACAGATGGCTGAACACCAATCAGGTCTACTTGTCTTCTTCCAGGACTATAAACAGCTTCTATATTGCTCCAGGAAGAATAGATACCTGTGTATCCGCACACATGAACACACACACAAAACACACGTAAACATGCAATCACTGCGGAACTGAGTTTGGATGCAGCTAATCCAAAGGATGGGCAGAAGATATGAGGGACGTAAGACTTTTTATCCCAGCTCAGGCTTACCCTGCAAAAGTTTATCATCACAAATGTGCAAATTCAGGATGGAAAAAATTCATAATCCTAGCTGTCATCACTAAACTTCCCTTTGTTATTCTTAGTTAGTTTGGAAGTGAGAGAAGTACTCCAGGTGGAAAGACCTCTCTTCTCGTGTTGTCCTGTTCCTATACTAAGGCACTTGTGTTAGCACAGCACTGGGACAGGGAAAATCCCAGGTTATAAGCCTTTTCCTGAAGTATGTGTGTAGACCAAGAAGTTCTGAATTAGTCTGAAGATGCGTCCACCATTGTGAAGGCATCTATGTGAACTTGTGTGGGTGTGATGTGCACTTCTTTCTGTGTCCATGTGTGATTTGTGGGCTTTTAGCGCTCAGCCACATCAAGCCTCTGGCTATGTATAGATGGTTTGATATAGAGGGCTGTGGAGCACCTCTCCAGGCATAGCTAAGCCTTGCTGATGTGGGATGTGTAGAATCCATCTAGCCCACCAAAAAGTTCTCCTTTCCATGAGTTAATGTACTTGATGGCAAACTGGAGTATCAGGGTGGATAGTTGAAGGCTGATATCTGACTTTGTCAAGCAAAAATCGAGGCTATGTGTGGACTTTGCCAACAGAAACATAAACTTCAAATAATTACAGGATCAGGCAATAACTGGGACTCAGCTGTCTCTTGAAGATGCACAGAAGTGGAAAACAGAGGCTTTCAAGTGAATGCTTAATGCAAAGCTTCCACAACTCACACTGCTGTGAACAGCAAATTTTCTAAGCTTTCATTTAATAAAAGTGAAAAAATTAAAAAGAAAAAAGGAGAAAAGGAGATCTGTGACAGCAGTTTTGTAACTGCTCTGTGAAGTTAGAGCCCTGTTAAATACAAAGCTGAACAGCAGATGGCATATTTACGCCCAAGACATAAGACTATTGTTGACATGGTTTGTAATAGTGATGTTGATGTAAATGCATACTTGCTCAGTCTGTGTATCATGCTGACATTAATCCTCAAGAAAAGAAAACCATCTGGAAAATTTTCAGTTAGCATAATATGAAATGAATAAATACTATAAACTCATGGAAGGCAAAACTTCTCCCAACTGAAGAGAAGGACTATATTCTTCTTTGTGTTTTACACTAGCCTTGTCTAATCCAATGTATACCTCTAATGCTGTATTTTTTGACGTATTTTTTATAAATTGCTATGAATTGTACTGTCCTGTATATATTTTTTCTCCCACTAGAATATATCAAATAACCCAACTGAGGACAACCCTAACTTAAACAGACACAACTTGAGAAATCTTGAGCAAATACCAACCCTTGGACTACGAAGTGGTACATTTTTTTGCTCTAGTGGGGAGTTTTTCCCTAAAGAACTTATTATTATGTATACGGAAGCTACATTAAATAGAAAATGCATTCATTGTGGGTTTTAAAGTTATTCTTCCTATTATTGTTATTTTTATTATTGTTATTAGTACTACTACTATTATTAGTATTTTAATGAAAAGCATTTAAATAGTAAACAAATCAATTATTCAGTTAGACTCTGACTGAGCAAAGTTGATAGTCTGAAGTGGAACTTTGATGCTCAGCTTTGAAGTGAATCATATTCTTTTTTCCTCTGCCATTCATTAACAGTCTGGGACATGCCCTGATCACTTTCCTAAGTCAAGATGTGAAAAAATCCCATGAAAAGGTCTAACAGACTCAGAAAGAAGATTAAGGACATATCTATTAGCCCTGGATGGGGCTAAGTAGTTCTTTAGAAGAGTGTTTTTATAGTGATTTGAATGCAAGTAGTATCAGGTCTTCAGCCTCAGAAGCACAACTTGTCCTACATCTTCGGTGACCATATGGGGAAGGCATTTCATCTTCCCAAGAGTTGTGAACCAAAGTGAAGCAGATTTAGTTGTTAAGCTATTCTATTGCAGCTTTTCATACCATATATCCTACGTTATAAAAACTGAGACAAAATGAAAAAAAAGAAATTATTTGATTTTAAGGCTTACTTTGGTATTAGTCTTTCTATGGTTTGCCTTTTTCCTCCCAGCTGTTTTCTTTCCTATTTATTACACATGGTTTTTATTGGAACATAGCTGTCCAAATCGGTGTTTTTGAAGGCAGAATAGATACACAACTAAACTCTACTAAATGGCCTGCTCTGTTTACATGAGGCTTGTTAAAAAACAAAGAGCAGAACCCAAGTACTGAGCATCAGTGTGGGTTTCCATCATTTATCATCTGCAGATTATAGTGTTCCTGCAACTACAAAAGATAAAGCCATGGCAGTGTAATCTGAAGGCAATATCTCTTTATAGGTTTTTGTGGTGTAAATTGCTGTACAAGCAATTAATTTTCATGCCTCCTTGAAGACAGACAGGTCACCTGAACATACTAAATACTTAGAATGTAAAACTGTAGCAAAATATGATTTTGGCATATGGACTATTTCTAGATTTATATAACTTCAGAAGCATTCCTGCGTGGGTGAAGTTATTGCCAAGCTTCCCCCTGATTTCAGGAGCTCCTGATAAAATCCAATGATTTTATGAATCAATTACAAAATCCCTTTCTTGGACTACAAACAAAAAGAAAGCGATGTTTACCATGGAAAATTCAAAATCAGATTTCAGACACTCTGCACATAAGTTTATTTGAAGAATGATTCACTGCTGGTATAGCTGGAGCAAATATATGTTTAAATCACCAAAACCACAGTGTAACCAGAAGTACTTAGAACTTTAAAATTTCAGCTGGATAATGACAAAGAAGTAATGAACTTACTGTCCCTTATTTGAACTTACCAGAATGCTCTGATGCTGTAGAGGCTTGACAATACTTGGCTGAATGCAAACATTAGTCTAGTGGGGTTAGTAAGGGTCTTGCTTGCTTCCTTTTTTGGTAGCTGCTGGTTGGTTGTGACAGTAAGTGCAGCAGCAGCACCTATGTTTGTTGCAAGTTAGTGGTCTCCTTTGCATCTTCTTTTGCACCATCAGTAGTATTAAGTGATACTGTGAGGGGAGCCCTTTCCACTAATGTAAAGTATATTTATATAAAAAAATAAAATTTATATAAAAAAATAAAATGTCAAGCATCTCATAATGAAATTGTAAGGAACTACAAAACTCTTGGAAAATATTCATGTTTATGTTAAGCACATCCCTTTGACTGCAAATATACTCTCACAGCACTATGCTTAGGCCATTCTCAGTGCAAAATTCAATCAGAAAGGTCTTGGGGAAACTCAGCAGGATCACCATGGATTTAGCTCTATCTTTCATTTTATTTGCAATTCTGTTATTGAACATAAAGCACCAGTCCTCCTTACTGTGCACACCAAAATCCCTCACTGAAATTAGAACTGGGAGCCTAGCAGTGAGGGTCCAACCTTCCTCTTTAAATAAGAAATTTAATGCTAATTAAGTTGTTGGTTTTTTATAAAATACTTTATTAAGAATGATAAGAGTAAACAAGGTTACAAAAATACCAACTTTATTAACTAATGAAGAAGCTGTTAATTACAGAAGATTTGTAATACAAGTTATAACCACAGTGTTCCCTTTTCATTAGGCATTCAGAAAGTTGCATTTAATGGGAGATTATTTTTCCCTCTTAAATATGAAAAAATACTCTTATCTTACACTAAATTCCACAGGCAGCTCCCTGAAGTTAGATCCCATGCAAAGTAACACCACACATAAATGCCCAAGAGTATGTTTAAAAAGGAACACTGCAAAATTTTAGGGTGAAAAGCCATGTTAGTTCCCGCCAGCAGCCCCAACATTCAAAACCAGTAATATGTCAGTGCACATGAGGGAGGAAGAAAATAATTGATAAGAAAACAAGGCTAAACAACCAATCCAATAGGCTTCATACAGTCTCCTTGAGGGTTGACTGGTTTACAACAAGCCTTCCAGCAGAATGATGATAAAGCCTTGACTCCTGCTGCAGTTGCCTTGGAGTTGAGAATCTGTGTGCTTTTCAGTGTCCAAGGATCCATGTGGTTCAGAACACACGTTGGGAAAAGGACTGAGCAACTCTCAGGCCCCGCTCTTTTGACAATCCCATTCACTGAATTCAAGGGACATTTTGCCTGAGTAGATTTTGATCCTTGGAGATATATTTGGACCCTCATCTGAAAAGATCAACTCAAGTGAGTAGCTCTGTCAAGTACATTGGCATTACCTGCAGCAATGGATTACAGAATACCTCAGAGAGTTTTAATCTTAAACTAGAGAAGAAGATTTCAGCAGTAGCAGCAAAAATCTAGACCAGTACATTCCCAATGACAACTATGTTTCTCTGAGGGTCATGAGGTTTATGAGAGAAAAAGAGACAGGGAAAAAAGCTTTTTTTAAGGGGAAAATGTTTTCATTAATTAAAGGAAGAAACATCAGCCAGTTCCAATGCCCAAAGAAGAACAATAATTAAGGTAAACTAACTTCAATAGCAAAAAATCAGCTCTTATATCTCAATTCCAAAATTTTATAACCAGATATTACATTTTTCAGAGACCAAGGATTAGTTACAGCATTACAGCAAGGAGAATGAAGATGAAATTCAATGGAGTTTAAGAATGTCTTTAGATAAGAATTTAAGTTCTGTACCCTTTATCCTAATATGAATAAAATTACATTTATGAAGTGAAGTCCAGATCCCACTGAAGTTAGTAAGAGGCTTTCCAGGAATTTGGATGGGCACGAGATCAGGTTCCCTTGTTATAACAGAGAGAAAAATATTACGACAGTGAAAAAAATATCTATAGCGTGTCCTTTCTTAAGAGAATCCTGTAGTTATAACAGTTGCCTGGTACGGTACCATTGGTACCAACAAGAAATATTCACAGGAATAAATGAAGTACAAATTCATTACCACATATCACTATTCTTCTCTTTCCTTGCTCTTCAAGGTCTCAGGTGCCCTCCATACTGAGATAGGGAGAGCAAAAGTACCTGGTAAGCAAGTGCATACAAACTTGTTAAGTTCTGGAGCATCAACTCTGCACAATTTATTTTACTGAGACACTGCCCAGAACAGGTAAAAATCCTTACACATTGTCTAACAAAAAACAGTATTTTTATCATATATATATATATATATGTGTGTGATATGTATATAAAAAAATCACGGTCTTCTGCACAGCAGAAGCTTATAACTAAAATATTTTAGGATTCATTTCTTTTAGATAGACATAACAAAATACCTGCAAATATAATACAATGAGCACATAACAATTCTTGGAATACAAAGAGTGAACATGAAATTGTATATTTTATCCACATTCTACTTGTGGTAGAAAACAAAACTCACTTGGAGTTTTTTAAAAGTCTCTCTTCAAAAGTTAATCCTTTCTATAAGATATGGTCAGTATATAATTAGTAAGAATACACTCTTCACATACATGGCAATAATTAACTGTAAATACAACTGGCTAAATCCTGCCCTCATTGGGCCTGGTAAGTAAGAGAGGCCAAAGGGAGCATAAAGTCTTCGGAGGTGGCCAACACAGACCTAGGCAGACTGTCTGTGTAGCATCCACAACCTCAAATCTGCTGTACAGAGAAGTCACATCTTGTCCAATGAGACTATTTACATTGGGAGGAATTTTAGAAGCTCTGCTTGCTGAAAGACTTCTTCCTATGTGCCAGTAGAATCCGCTGGATGCTTGACACAAATCTCAGCAAGCCGAGCTACTTAAGCACGAGCTGAAACTCATCCCAGTTCACCAGGAGATGTGAAGTCAAAGTGCACTGCTGAAGAAAATTTGGTAAGTCAACACGAGGGCCAGTCTCCCAAGAGAACTCCCCTGAAGTGGTTACTTTCTGCAAGGGCAGAATTCAACCCTGCGTCTTCTGCATGAAATGTCCTTTTGCATGTCTACACCATGGTGTCAGCTTGGTGGCTATGCAGTTAGACATGATACACATACCCTACTGGAAATGCTACTGGAAACATTTACAATTTATGCAGCCACAAGTGAAGTAACAGTGCTGTTACTTATGCAATTACACGTACAGTAGTAAAACTAACAATTGTATATATGTTGCATCAATTTTCCAGAAATTGCAGGGTAATCAGTGCCATCTATAACAATGTATTGGTACAATACTTCCAGCCATACAACCAAATGCCTAAAGGAGAACAAACCCTTTTCATAGAGGCTGATTTTTTGTTCTCTTTCCCCATGAACATAAAAGGAAATGATGATTCTACACACAGGCAGGAAACACAAGCTATTAAACTGTTGATAATGTTGTCCATACTATACACAAGATCATATCAATCTCTGCAATAATTTTATTACCCTGAAAGGAATTATACAGAGGATAGAATTTTGTCCAAATCTAGGTAAGGTTTTAGCAAAGAACTCAAGCCTCTGAGTTTTCCCAGTCTTAAGTTTCCCAGCCAGGTGTCAAATTTAACTCTTCTTTTTCCTGCTGTAAATACAGAGTTACTTTCATGAAATAACTAGTACCAAGTGAATTTTTAATACTTGTCTGTTGAGAAAGATTTGGGCATATTTGATTGAAATTTATTTTAATGTCCAAAGTCTTCCAGTAGATAATCGGAATTACTTTTCAAACTGTACAAAATGCTGTCTTTAGCACTGGAAATTCACAGTTATTTCTGGGTCAAACTTTAAAGAAATGATTAATGCTTTGCTAACCAAAAAGTGTTTTGAGACAACTATTAAAGGATCACATACACAGTGAAGGAACCAAGCGCAGAACTAAAGTCTATAAGCACTGTTAAAAAAACCAAACTTGTAGTGACTTCCATGAGAACTCTGCTTTTGGCAGACTTGTCAAAGTCCTTCAATAATTAAAAGATTAATTATTAAAGGATTATTTTTTAATAAAATATTGCAATATTTGACCTCTTATAAGGGGGGAAGAGAAATATGATCATGTATGCTGTCCTTGACAGTTGCATATATCTCTCAGTAGGTCTTTTGTCATATATATGAAGAGAAATATATGGCTCATGGAAAGAATGTGTTAAATAAAACTATAATTTTTTTCTCCTTCTAAAATAATCTGAAGAGCAGCATAAAACAGGTCATATGATCTATTTCTACAGAATCATTTATCATCCAGTAATAGTGTCATTGTGAAATTGTTTACCCATTCAAGTATCTTCAGGAGATATGTCACCATACTTGCATATACTGTAAGTCACTCCAACATTTATAAAACAACACTGATAGACAAACAAAAACACCCATAAATATTAAATGAAGCTCAACAAACTTGACTATCAAGTAGTTAAAAAATTGTTGATCTTTACATTAGACATTGATTCCATGCTGTCCAAAATCTTTCAATGGAAGTTGTTGAGTTTTTCAGGGTTTTCTGTAGGTCATCATAATCTTGTGTATCCACCGGGAATAATATGAGACTCGAACAAAAATCCCAGGACGATTTCGAATGGCACATCCACGACCAGGAACAATGACACCAACAACTATCTTCAGCCTATTTTGTTCACAAACCAAGGGACCACCATAATCTCGCTAGGAAAAGATAAACATAATGAATGTCACTTCTCAAAATGCTTCAAGACACTGCTCCCACCTGTTTCCTGCTGAGTGGTTTCTTTTGGGGATGACCTTGCTCAATGAACAGGCGATAGTGTTATTCCACCACAGGATATAAATCAACTTCCAATATCTTTTTCATAACCAGAACTTATAAGAACCAATGTCAAAGCTGGCCTCTGACCCTTTGGTTCTTTTCCATGCAAATTAAATCCTGTGATCCATCTTTACATGTGATTCTAGCAACTTCAAACTATCTGGTCTTATTCACCTCTTTCAGCTACCTGCAAGTATAATATTTTTTTATGTAAATATAAACCAGATGAGCAGAATGTGAGGTGACTGATAAACATCTTTGTTATGATAACAGGCTCTGCATCCAAGACTACTGACAGAGTCAGGTTAATATCTTTCAGTCAATCATCTTGCAAAGGCCCTAGGATGAGAATCTATGTGTACTAGGCAGGGGGGAGGATCTCAAACATAATAAAAGGTAATATTTTTTAGACATAATTTTGAGACATAACTTGTTAAAATGCTCTTTTTTATTATTCTGAATGAATGAGACACCCATGCAACAGTTTATGCATTCTGTCAAAATTTTGAGTATGACCCACTGAGATCAGGATCTTATTTAACACTGAAATACATCCAGTCTAAATTAGATGGAAACAGTAATTTAGATACATTCATATAGACTTCGGACTTGAACATAGATACTGCAGTTTTTATTTGGGCTAAAGGTACCCTGAACCTAGAAAACTAGTTGCAAAACTAGACAGTAAATGTTCATATCAGATAGTGAAATATTGTTTCAGAAAATAAAAGCAGACAATTAGCATTGTATTCTCTCCGGATCACCAGAGAAACAACAATGCTTGACCTTTATTTGGTTTGGGGGTTTTTTTGACTGATGGCAGACTAGTTCCCACATGAACAATGAACTATGTCAGTGCCATCAGAGTAGCTCATAAAACAGTTTCAGGAGTGGAGTTTCACCTGCCAATCTGATTTTGTTCCTCTGCCTGTTCTCTGCTGAGGAAAGTAGTTTCAAAGGGGAACTTGGGGAGCAGGAAACCACACAGTGATTAAGACTGATTGCTAATATTAATTCAGTCCATTCCCCTTGCAGGGGAAAACAAAGTGCAGGATCCCCAGCAGACTTCCATGCAGATGTTTCATTTATAAGCCTTGACAAGCCTAAGACCTCATTTACAATTAAGTATAAAATTCTTATTTTGAAGAAAATACTTTGCAACAAAAAAGTGATCCTGCGAAATATTAATAATAAATGGAAGAGGCCTCAGTTTGATGAACATGATCTCTGTTCCCCGTGGTTTGGTAGTACCCTTGTAGGGAAAATTTCACTACATGGTTAACATCAGTATTAGTAAATCAACTATTCTACTCCAGATATTAAATACTTAGTACTGTTCATGACTGCTCTCCATCTAGATATCATTTCACCAGTCAGATTTTCTGCAAAAAAAAAAATTATCTTTTCCTGTAATACATTATTTACAACATTTCTTCTCATATGTCTTTTCTCCATCATCAAAACTAGTCCCAAGCAAAACAACTCTATCAAGCTATATGATCACTGAAGTAGTGCTCCTGTCCTCGCTGATATGTTGCTCAGCCTTGATTAGGGAGACCAAATACTCCAGTCTTCTGAGTGATATGAACCTCAAAACATTTTTGTGTCTTTCTCCTTCCTTCATAACTTTGTCAATTCTGTTGGGTATTAACTCATATATTTTGCATGAAGTTCCCCATCTAACTAAGAAGCTAAATTTGCTCCAGTCTTTTCTTTCTACTCAATCAAAATATATTGCTATTGCTAGCACTCAGGTCATTTTAGCCCTTTCTGTACAGAACACAAATTTGTCTCAGACAAGCATAGTGTTCAGTCATATGAGCATGTTTAACATTCATGTACGTCTTTCACTGATGTGGTGGCACGGTGAAGTTGAAGCAAAGGAACCTCTTCCTGCACTCTGGCAGAAAATAGAACACTTGTAACACAAATCATTTTCCAATGCAAAAGATTGAAATAATTCTTCGTGCATGAGCATAATACAGAGAGAATAATTATAAACTCCTTCAGTAAATTACTTTTTGGAAAGAAACAGCCAGACTGATAGCTCCTAAGAATGTATCAGGAAATGCAATATTTACCTCGCAAGGCCCAGCACCGATGGTTTCAGCCACAGCACAGATTTCTGACTCATTCACAGTGATCTTCCCTTTTAGATATTGGTTGCATTTCTCGTTTCCCAAAATAAACAGGTTTGCTACTCGGAGCAGGCCATCATAGTTAACTACTAGGATTGAAAAGAGAATAAAAAATTTATTCTATTTTAGAGGGAAAAAGATAATTCAAGCTGCAGTCTGGATAAACTTACTCATGTAATTTGAGTTATTGTCCTTTCTCTGCAGTATTCACATTTTTGTCCATCCCCACCATGCTTTTGTATTTTGGATTTCTTCTATTTTCTACAAATGAGATTTTCAAGGCATTTGTTTGGTTTACCTGTCTGTTCAGTTCTCTGAGAATATGTGGATAAGATTTTAGTGTTAGAATAGAGGGTTAGGTAACAGGGCTTATTCTACAGCTCACCACCAGCTTGCCCTGTCATATCAAAGAAATCAGAAGAGAGCCTGAAAATGTTCTCTCTCCCATCAGTGGAGCAAGGATTCTGCTCCCTGCCTTAAACACGAGTTAATGTGTAACAGTGCCTGCCACGGCCCAGGGAAGGACGTGTGACTTGAGAAATTCTGTAGCAGAGTAGAGTTTTTCTCATTCTGTGCTGGCTCAGCTACACTGAATGACTTTGTGCCCGCAAGGGCAGAGCCACAGCCTTGTGTAATCTCCATTCATCAGTGTGAAGGTCAGGAAGCAGGAGCCCTGTGGAGCTTACTCTTGTTCTACATGTTGAAAGACAAGCCCGTACAAGCTGCAAAGATAAATAAAGGGTCTGAACCTGCCCATTCTCTGCACAGCCATCAAAAGAAAACGCCAAGCCTGCCCTCCACTGACTTATTATGCTGTTTTCTTGAAAAAATGGATGTAACACTTCTTCCTTCCCTGACCAGGATTCTGTGAGGATTATAATAAGTAGTGCATAAAATATAATACAAAGTCCTTGGATGACAGATGTTATGTATTTACTGTATTACATAACTCCACAGCATTGCAAATTCCTTATCAGGTCTGTTAAGCTGAGCTTTCCTGTGATGCTGTGCTCCAGCCCTATGTCCCTGTCCCCCAGACAGCCGATGGCCCCAGAGGACAGCTAATGTGGACATGCTGGGAACATCAAAGGCAGTCATTTGGGAGAGGGCTGGTACAGATTAATTGCCACCCACAAAGAAATGCAGAGTAATGGCTACATGGAAGAGAGACTCAGAATTCCAGTCTAGTTTCTGCCCTGCTTCCAGGACAGTGTGAGTATGTTGCTGTTGCTTACTCAGGGTCTGTGGCAAAACAACATTTGAGTGCAGTAAATATTGGAGTAATTATTGTCAACTGGCAGCTATTAACTTTATTATCAACACATAATTAGCCAGATATAGCATTTACCAGACTAAATAAATGTCTGTTCTCCCACATATTTGTATTTTCTTCACACAAAAACTGTGTTTAATAAACATTAGGAAGTCAAGTATTCAAAAGTTAGGAAATACCAGACCTAGGGTTGCCTGTGCATCCCTAGTTCAGTGTCATTGCATATGTTAATAAAATCTTTGATTACATGTTTCTGTATGAGTTTTTCCACAGGGCGGCCTACTTTGGGATACAGAAGGAGGCTGCTCATGACAAACCAGATGAACCAGATTTTTCCAAAAACCAGCTAGCATTCTGCAAAACAGATTTTCTAATTTTTTAACATGTAGATCAATGTTTTTCTCTAGTTCATTCCTTGAAATATTTGAATCATTTTACCTGTCACTGAAACAACAACAAAAAAGGATAGACTAGTAGAAAATATTCCGTATTAAATGAACTTACATAAAATGGTCAAAGATTTATAAAATTAGGAAAAAAAAAGAAACTGTATTTTATAACAAGAAGTGTTGGATAACTGTGGCATCAGGCAATACCAGCAGCCTCACCTATAATGACAAGAGGAAGTAAGCTGTCAACGTATTCATTTAGTTTTTAAAAATAGTTTCTTACATCCAGTGTATCCCCATCCATAAACACTGCAACTGGTCTTCTCTGGAATGGTACATCCAGAAATTGGCAATCGGATTATTTCTACAAAATTTGTCAATATAGCAGGTCTGAAATGAGAGACAAAATAACAGATACAATGGATTTTGATCTTCTAAAATGTATCTTAAAAATTACATTAAATCTATTATATACCACAGCAACCAAAAACTGTGCCAATTCTTTTACTTCATTTTTTGTCTTTAAAGAATGTGATGGATTCTTCTACCTAATTTTTGTGCTACAGCTGTTAACTGTCAAAAGATTTCTTGAAATGCTGTCACCACTTTTATGCTATTTAACTTGGGTTTTAATCTTAAAAGTAAGTAATAATGGTATTTCATTTGAATATATAGTTTTGTTAATCTGGAGAGAGTTTGAAAGCTTGTATATACACAAGGATTTAAGTTACAATCTGGTGCTTATTCTATAAATTAAAACCTTATACTAGTCCATGTGGGTACTTTGTGAGTTTGTGGGTTTTTTTAAAATCTCCCAACAAACCTAAACATGGTTATCGGGAAAAAAAACAACTGTAGGAATGATATTTCTGAATCTGAGCACTGTAGATGGATATGTATTTCTGCGTATACCAAGTAAAATTTCTTTGAATTGGAAGTTTAGCCCATGGAGACAGCATCTGTAGTATTGGAGATAGTAGAGTAATGAACTCGCAAATCTTATCTAGGAAGAATCTCATCCATCAGATGAAAATCCTGGACTTCACAATAACAACCACTAACCTGTTAAGTTTCAGTAGGACCAAATCTGACCCTGCAGGGCCATATACCAACTGGGAGATATTCCGGACTTGTCTATGCTTCTCCTCTCCCTTTCCTTTGATATTATGGACTCCAAGCCAGGCTTTGTAGTCTTTCAAATCTTTGTACCTAAATGAGACAAAGTTGGTTATGATTTTACTGAGTATAAGATAAAATAACTCAAAAACCTCTGCTTAATACGATTAGGCTAGAAGATCTTAACTAATGCTCTTCAGCAGAAATGGCTTTATGCTGCCAAACGCTATTCCAAAATCAACATGCTTGAACGTAAGTTTTTGGCCTGAAGCCATTACATAATTTTATCTTTAACTGTTACTAAAATCTAATTTTTGTTTCATAATAGTATCCAAACATTTAGATCCTTGGACAGTATGAAACTTTGAACTTTTTGAGATTTGCCCAAGTTTTCTATTTTATTCTGTCGAGTTAAGCAGAGACATGAGATTATTCTCATAAAAAGGCAATTGTCTAACCATGACACTTGGAAAACCTATTTATGCTTCTATGTAAAATAGCCAGAGCTCCTTTAGATTTACAACAATAATAACAGAAAATACCAAGGTCCCATGGGCCTTTTATATTAGAAAAGCAGTATTAAAGCCAAACAGGAGGGAAAACTGCTGCGTTTAAGTTGAAGTGTTGTGCTGATAAGTTCCTGAAAATAGATGGATTTTAATATTGCAAAGTTACAGACTACTGTACCGAGAAGGGAAACACTGTCTTGCTGTAAGAACCCACTCCTCCTTTATCAAAGTACCACCACAAATATGCTTATTCCTGGGGGGGAAAAAAAAAAGATTAAAAAAAAGGAATAGTATTAATTTCTACATAGTCAAAATGTTAAATAGTACTTTGCTCCCTATGTATTTTTGCTGGTGAAAAGTGGCGGACTGACAATACACAGAAACCTGTCTCTGTCCATTGCTGTACAGTTTTAACACTTACAGTAACATGACTTAGCAAAGATTTACTCTAATGTGTAAAAACCAGAAAGAAAGACCAGTTCAGTTACTCTGTTCATTTAGTGGTTTCAAAGTTGAATTTGTAATAAGAGACCTAATTTAAAATTAAAATTAAATAAAAAAAAACCCAAACAATAAACCAAATGAGCAAATTCTTTTAACAGGAGCTGGACTCAAACATTCAAGCCAGTCTCCAAACTGCCACCAGATGTAAACAACATTTGGTCATTATTCATGTAAGTATCATTCAAAGCATTGACCTCAAGGTGGAGAGTTCCTACTTGATTACAAGCCCTAGGAGATTTGTGTCCCCACATACTTCAGTTGGAAACAATCTGCAGTGTATGACATCCTACATATGATTATAGAAAACCTGAAGCATAATATATCAAGTAAAATTAAAACAATTAGGCATGACAGTTCTTTCAAAAAAAAAAGATTACTGTGGAATGTAGATTAATTAGTTTCCTTCATTGTGCCTCCAAAATCACATTTATTTTCTGCAGCATTTTGGAAAGGGAATCAGAATTGTCAGCAATTTCAGAAAAGCTTAAAATCTCACAATTTATAAATTCAAATCACACAAATGTTCAAAGCTTTGCAAAGAACTGCTGGATGGACACCAGATTCTATATGGAGCTCAAAGACAGCAGAATAACACAAACGTTTGATTTTTTTTTAATTGAATTTGGTTGAGTAGCAAAATATCTGGTCCAAAAGGCTGTAGTCTTTCGAAAATATAGATTCTCCCCAGTTTTATTATAAAAATGTCACAAACAGGAGTATAAATGAGTTCTTTCATGTTATAGTTGCATCACTTATTATTATTTTACTATACAAGATTTCATCATCTGCTTTAGAAGATTAATTAGTACACTTAGAAAGGTTAACTTCTTATTTAAGTATGGGACAAATTTAGAGCTGGTTCCATGAAACAGATGAAATCCATCAAAATATACTTAAATATACTTGATACCAGAATCTGGATTTGATATATAACAAAATTTCATTGATTAATTTAACATTTAAAGGTGTGCTTTCGTTGCCAAATAAGAATGGTTTCTAAGTATCACTAAGCCCTCACCATTCAGACACGGCAATTCCATCTTAAAGTGTACGTTTTCTTGCAGAAAGTTCTGAAGTCATTAGGATTTTGTTTCAGACAATATTCTACTTGCTTCCTTGGTAACAATACAAAATAAAGCTACATTTTTATGCCCACATGTAATTGTTCAAAATATATTTTGCTGCTGGAGTATTCCAGGAATCCCTTATTCATAAAAGGATCTGCAATCATTTAAGCACTAGTCTATTTCATGGAATTTTGTCACATAGCAAAAAATCCAGGTTCAACTACCGTAACGTTAGCTATTTAAATTTTGGGTACCTAGACATAATTCACCTTACCTGTCTAAAAGTTCCTCAAATATCAAGGCTGCTTTTAAAACAGAACAAAGTTGAACTTTTCCAGAGTGATTTAGCCCACCTATCTGGTTACTTAGTCTAGGAATATAGCAATGTTCCTTTGGAAATATCTTTCTGGACCATTCACTACACTTCCAGAAAGGAACGGTTCTGATGGGATCTCACAAGATGCAAAGATTACTACGGATGGGAAGAACCCCTGGAATTTCTCTAGCAATGAAGCAATGTAGAAAATATTTTTTTTAATCTTTTCCTTTGCTCTCATTTTTCATTTAAGATGTCTTTTACGATATAGTTTTAAAAGAGATGATAAATCATAAGCTCATAGAATTGAGCATTACTTTGGTCTGCACTTGCAGACAAAAGGTTTTTTACTTTTTTTTTCCATGATAGAAGATGTAGGCTGATGCATGAGATATATCCTGTTATAAATTAATGATTCACACTTCTAGCTGATGAGTTATGAACCAGAGTAAAGAACATAGGAAGCAGCAATTCTGTGTTCTGGCTTTTACACAGTAGCAAAGTAAGATCTGCCATAATGTAATACATGTGTTAAACATAAGCTGTACGTGTTAGGGTCTTGTTTTACAGAATGGAAAGGGTTTCCTTATAGCTCCTACTTTTTATTTTTTTTTAATACAAAACAAATTTTAATTGCATGCATTGATATATGGAGAAAGCTAAATTTGACCTGGGTATAAGTCCTCAATCCTATACTCCACAACTTAATGCTCTACTGTCACAGTGAAAATGTTGGTATGAAATTCAACTTTTTTATTAACAGTCTTTAAAATAAACAATTTAGTGCTGAATGCTAAGCCAATGTTATGAAAACATCTGCAGTAATTGAAAGAGCAGAACACTATGAATGCCTTACAAGTTCATGTGGCTAAGTTAGTAATAATGAACATTTAAAATATTTCACTAGCAGGTTTCATACTATGGCATCATCTGACATTACAGGAATCCTGTTTCTCTGCTTTTACAGAATTTAACTGCAATGTAGAATTATTCTTAGTATGTTCAACATTTTCTACAATTCCGAAACAAATGCCCTATCAGATGTATTGTCCTTCTAATCAAAGTAATAGTTACCTGTAGGTCAAACTAACCACCCATCCTTCGTTAGTTTGTGTTGGGATTCCATTTACAACTCTCAAATGTTTTGTTGAGGCACAGGGAATGGCAGTATCTGAAAGCAGGTCCAGAGATCACATTTTACTAAAAACAGCGGTAGGAAACCTGCACAGTTGCACATAAGGGCCACAAGAAGATCAATATTTATTGCAGATTAACTTCCCTGTGCTAATGAAATATATTTCTAAACCACCAAAACTACTTCAATGAAGCTGAGTATGTCTGTATAAATATCCATAGGAAATATAAAATACATTCATTTAGTTTTTTTGAGATTTATGTAGCTAAAAATCAAACATTGTAAATCACTACCAAATCTTACCACTGGCAAGACATGACAGTGAGAATAGATAAAGGAGTGCAATAAAGCTGTTCCTCATTTTCCTCTGGTACAGGCTATATGGGGTTTTTTATGACTTTAACTGATCTTTACTTGTTTCCCAATTGGAAAGAAATGGTTAGTTTTAGGGGATACAGTCATGCATTGCACAGTATATGTACAAACTTACTTACCATCCAAGCTGGTTGTCGTAGGAGTTGTATCACCTTCACCTAGACAGACACGTATGATAACCATAATACAAAATTAAAACACAGTTAAAAATTGAATAGAGTAAAAATCACCAGCAAATGGCATATTGTTAACTTTAATGATACACCAAGTTTTAAACTTCAATGATTTCTTTAATACAATTTAGTAAGAACTAACAAGAAGGCAGAATTTTATCCCAACAGAATGAAATAAGAAATAAACATTTTGCAACAGGACATGTAAGCATTTTTCTACTTGGCTGAATTCTGAATACATCAGGCTGACTATCATGTTCAATTTACATGTTTTATTCAAACAAGCAAATGTTGAAAAATGAAGTTGTGACTTTTCTACAAGCTTTGAGGAACTATGGAAGTCATGTGATTAAATCCAAATCAGACTAAAATAAATTCTATTTTCCTTAATAATCTTTGAAACTTCAAAAGTCCTTCTATGTTCCTATCAACAAAAAACTTATCCTTATCAAAATGTGTTCCCCAAAATCTGGTTCAGTTCTTCCATCTAGTCCAAGTAAAAAAAAAGGCAGTTACAAAAGGTTTCTTAACCCTCACTCAAAATTTTTGCCTTCAGTAAAGTCTACAGAGTTACCCAGCATATTGAACCGGAGGTACAGGTGTAGCTGCCGAAAATTTGCACAAGCAAAATTTAAACAGTCTCATCTAACTAGATTTCCACCCTTAAGCAAATATATATAGAGACACATATATATGTATATATAAAATATAAAGGTATAGAGTTATATACAGAGTTAAATTTCTATGTGCATGTACATGCATATGCATACATATGTGTATATATATGTGTGTGTATATATATATATACACACATATATATACATATACATATGTATGTATGTATGCATATATATGTATGTGTGTATATATATATATATATATATATATAGAATATATATATATGCAGTTAAAGGCACTAAGTGAGTTCATTGGGGAACTGTGAGAATTTTTTTCTGTACAGGTTAAGCTGGTTATAAGTAAATGAGCTACTAGTAGTAGTCCATATGAGTTACAGTTGTAAAACAGACATATTCCCACTCTGGAGTTTGATTGCAGAAATTGTAATAGTCACCAATGTTGCATTACCCTAGAAATGTTTGCTGTGAATATTTCCTTAGGAATTCATAGATTCAGATAATGAACACAGAATAAGTGAACAAAAAGTATATTTCTTCAGCTGTTTTTTTTAATTTATATTGACACAAATAACCTTTTGCACAGTTTGTTTACTCCTCTCATAGATGCCAAAGCATCGCCTGAGACTTCAAATATCACTTTTTAGAGATGCAGGAGTTCAGACTTTTGAGGAAATGCAGCAGATTGCCACTAGGAATGAGTGTAACATTATCCTTAACCTCTAGAGATCAGAGACGTATTCAAAAGCTTGATTTACCATTTAAGTGTTCTCCCAGGATACACAGCAGAGTAATTCAGAAATAAGAATTGAAGAGAAAGATTTTGAACACATATGTGAATTGTACATTTTTCAGCATAAAACTATCTTTTCCCACTTATCATCAGTTTCTTACTGAGTTCCCTAGGATTTTTAGTTCTGTTTATTTAAGCTATTTAGATTTAAACATTCAACTTTGGGGGCGTAATTTTCCTGGTTCTTGCCAGGAGTTAAATCATCCCATAAACATCTGAAAGCAGAATCTAATCTGTATAGCACATATACACTTCAGCGTATATGTAGTGAGTTATCCTAACTTTACAAATACAGATCACACAAAGAGACTCTGAAGCTTGTAGTTTAGAAGATAACTCTCCCTGGGTTTCTTGAGGCCACAGCCAGCATTCTGACCACCAGACAATTCTTTGTCTCCGTCCAGCCCTCATTCAATAGCTAGATCTGCTGGAAAATGTTTGACCATCTGTAATAGCCCTTTTGTGCTCCTGCCGCATAAATAAGCCTTGAAATCTCCAAGCTGGTCAAGGAAAAGAACCCCTTGTTCATATATTGCACAAGCAGCTTCTGTCTGCTCCTTCTCAGTCACGCACAATTGATTCCTGATAGAATCACACATTTTCCACTGCCACAAGTGACAATGGAAAGGTGTGCATATGCCTGTGAAACCATGGCTTTACTGGGACAGCACAGCTGACAATGCCAGAGGCATAGCAAGTACTCACATCGAGAAATAGGGCAGTAATCCCAGGGAACGAGAGGATCATCTGTGTAACACCAGGGACCATGAAAATCATCATCTGGATTGCGGCAATAGTTTTTCTTCAGTTTACTAACATCTGGTTCTCTGAATATTTGTATATGCCTACAGGGAAAAAAAAATTCAAAGTGCTGAAAAGCTTTATACTATAGCCCAAATTTTCAAAGGTTAAATGTTGCTTTGCTCCACATTGTACTATTAGCTGATTGAGAAGCCTACAGGTCAGGGTTTAGGGCTGGTTAAAATCAAAGAGAAGATGAGACCCAAATATTTGCTGGATCTGGGTCCAAGTTTCCTCTGGTTGGTATTTTAAGCACAGTGTGCACTGGACAGCTGGGAGGTTTCTAGATCTTCCAGTCAACCTAAAATCTCCAGATACCCTCAGGAGGGACTGTTACACTGATTAGAAGGGTGCCTGTGATGTCCTCAGCAAACCTGCAGTCCTCGCTAGGGAGCACAGGTACCTCCTCCTTGCAGGTTAACGGCACAAGGGAGTGTTGATTCATAGGCAAATGAATTCAAAGATGAATCATAGGCAAAGGAAGGGTAAACTAAGAAAGTTAGCAAGGCTGAACAGCAGGCAAGCAGAAGGCTCAAGCAAACTGCAGTGATAGGTCACCCAAATTGCTTCTATGTGGGGCACTTTAAAGGGGAAATTTAGGGGTCACAATCTGAAGCAGAGAAATCTGTTTATTTCTGGTTTGCCAGACACAATGATATAGGCTTCCCTCGTTACAGCTGTACTGCTCTTTTAGTTCATAACCAACCACGTATGCTGCCTCTAGCACACCCATAACCAAAGAAACTGTTGCAGTGAGAACCGATAACTCCCCAAAGAAGTTCCCAGATGGAAAATGCGTGGGAGTAAGAAAAACAAGGCTGATCTGTGCTCAATTAAATGAATGCAATTGCATCAAGCATCCAGTAGGTTTATGCTGTCTCATTCACAGCTAACTGAAGACTTATCAGGCTTCTCAGAAGTCATGATCTTATAACTCTGCTTCCCTTACATGGACAGCACACTGGAATATGTATCCTCTCTCTTAACCTCTGTGGGGAAAAACACATGCAGTTCAAGTGATGATTCCAGACAGGGCCACTGAATTCTGCCTTTTGCAATAGAGCTTCCCCAAAGGCTGACTTGCTGACTTACACACTGTCCTGACTGACAACAACATCAGCAGAAGGAATCAGGGACAGCCAGATTACAAAGGACAATAGTGCCCAATATGTTGGGCACTATGACTCAACAAGTACCAAAGCCAATATTGGCATATTTACATGAGCCTCAGAAACCAAAGGAAAGTGGCCCCCCTGTTTCCATCGGGGCCACTAGTGTGTGTGATATCTCATACATGGCGAAATTTTAGATAAATCCCTTATTTTGTACTTCGTGCTGATTCATTTTACTTCAACAAATAAATTAAAGTAACTTGCCATTTCCACTACTTGAATGTGAAGCCAAAGTAATGATAAACAACAGAAATCGCAAGTCTTTTTGATGGCATTTGATGTCAGTGTCATTAGATTGTAGACTCAAGATTCAATTTCAGGCAGCAAGGGACATTAGGTGGTTTCAAGTCCAACCTCCTCTTTGAAGCAGTGTGAGCTATGAGATTAGGTTGATGAGATAATAATTTTCTGCCTCATTCCTGCTGTCGTCTCATCGCACAAAACTTTTAAGGACAGAGATGGGGTAAAACAGGTCGATAAACTAAACACTAAGAAACATCCCAAAGCCTGCAATTAGTGGTTAGCTGGAACAAAGTCATGTTGTGTAACGTATTTAAACACGAAGAAAAAAGAAAAAGATAAAGATTAAAAAAAAGAAAAAGATACTAAAAGCTTCAGGGCATAAGGACCTGCTTTAGAATCACTGCAGATGAGAAAGAGTTGCCATTTGGAGGCAGTATTTATTCAGGACTCATTGAACCATCTCTTTCTGTTTCATATGTACACACCTACGTAAGTCTTCAATATTTTTGTCCCATGTGGAGCAAGTTAGCCCAAATCTTGTCTTGGATAGATTCCCCATGTAACTCTTGCCATTGCCACGATAACAATCTGAAAAAAAGAATGTTGAGTCAAAAAAGTGGAGAGTGATTGTGCAACACTGAGAAGAAAACTCTTCCTTTCCATCAGTAACCCAAATTACTAAAGACAAGTGTTTCATTTAGCAAATGCTATATAATATAAATCAGAAAATTGTATAAATCAATTCAGAAAGAAAATGGGAAAAAGTTTTCAAATTTTAAATTGGCTTACTTAGATAAACTGGGAAAATTTCTTTTTTAAATAGTTTGTTTATGATTAATTTAGAGGGGTCACATAGAATATTCTAAAAGTTGTTAGAAGTTGGGTTATACAAAACAAAGCAAAAATGCTCCCCTATTCCTCCCTCCTCAAAAAATAGGCACTCAGCCTACTTGAAACAGCTTAGCTCTGTGTAGGTTCTGGATACTGGCAACTGTGTATAATCCTAGACTTGAGTAATACTTCAGTAAAATCAAAAAATCAAGATGACTTTCATTTTAATGTAATTCAAAAACTTGCCTGTTCGCTCCAGCAGAAGTCATGTTTAATTCATAAGCTTTTATCACAAGCCTTTTTGAGACTTTTCAAGAGGATTGTTTAAAATTATCACTACTATAAAGACTTTTTGCATAAAGCATTTAATTTCATATTCATCAGTAATTTTACTTTTTGATAATTGATACTTTACAAGAAACACAGAATGAAAGTAAAACTTTAATCCTTTCTCTAATATAACTCTTGCAACTGCAACTTTTTCAAATTTACAAGAAAAATTGTCTAAAATTTAAAGATGGAGATGTTAATGCACCCTGCTGTAGAGTTATAGGTCTGAGGTCTTAGCCTCAGTTAATGTATGATTGACATCAGTTGTCAGGATGCAATAATACTTCTTAGAGTAATACCAAGACCTCATGGGAAAAAACATTTGCATGAAGACTCAAGGGTGGACCTCACAAGCAAAGGTATCTAAGAGGATCAATTCCTTTTAGACAAGGAGGTATATGCAAAAAAACACCCACAAAAAACCCCACAACTTTTGGTGGCCTCATGTGCAATTATAGAAGGACTGTGAACCAAGGAAATCATCTCAGCTCTGGAAAAAGGCCTTTCAAACTAAGAAGGTAAAGGCAGTGGAGCAGATACACAGATTCACCTTGTCTAAAAGTCAGATCAAATAGCAAATCTTTGCTACAGCTTTCCCTGCTGGAATCGAAAATTGAACCGAGAAATGAATCTCATTTACACCACGATGAATCCCAAGTATGCAAATAAAGCCAAAGCAGAACCACACAGGTGTAATACAGATCAACTTCTCCAGTTTTCAAGCCTATGTATCTGCTGTTTGGAACAGTACAGCATTCACTTAAAATCACGCTATCACCCTTTCCTCTGTTACCTTGTTCATTTGATACATCGCACTTAGGAATCTGGGAGCAATAACCAATACGGATGTTTGGGTCAGTGGTAAAACACCAGGGTGACTCAGATCCATCTGGATTTCGGCAGTAGTTCTCCCTCAAATCCCTATAAAAATAAATATGTTAGCTCACAGCAGGGATAACTTAAACCCACTGATGCATTCCATTGTTTTTTATTATGAGTTAACAATTATATAAGCTCCTTCAGGTCTCTATGTTACTGATCAGTGTCAAGTGCAAGGAGATGAGGAGCCAGTAAGAACACAGTGTCCAGAAAAATATAGTAATTGTAATAAGAATATGTTCATGGGAATTTATTTTCAGTAGACATATGTTTTGACTGGATATAAGATTTCACTTGAAGATTAACAATATTTTCAATATAGCTTATTTTCATTCAGGATTCTCCATCAAAATTTGCATGCAACTGACATTGGATACACCTGCAATCCATTACAAGTGCTTTTAAATACAAACATTACCAAAGTGCTTAAAATTCCCTGTATTTTGAATGGTTCTACTGAGTTTAGAGAAAGAAGAGTCCTGTAGACTATCAGTGACTCATTTGAGAAACTGAATCTTGAAAAATAAAAAAAATGTATGTTGAAATTCCATACAGCTGTTACCTTTAAAATAAAAGTTAGTCACAAGGGAACATCTTGAAATGTCTTTCATAGCTTGCATGAAATAGTCAAACCTCTTAAATGTAAGTTTTATTTTCCCATCTCCTGACAGTTTTTGCCATGTTCTGTGCATCTCCATATTTCACTGTATTTTTCCATCTGCAACACTTACTGACAACAGACTATGGAAAGAATGGGCCTAATACTGTAATTCTTACTGATATCTACCCATCAATAAAGACGTTTAGTACAAACTGAGCTGTGGCTCCATGCTGGTCAGCAAGGTTTCCTCTATGCTCAGTTAAAAAAGGACTGAAAGAACATTACAAAGGTAACTGTTTAAAATTAGTAGATTATTCACATCCTGGGAGTTTTTGAACTGCACAGAAATGTTTGATGACCAGTGACCCCTCAGGTAAAAGCAGTCCTATTGATGCAAGTACAGTTAGTAATGAGACAGAAAAAGGACTTAAAATATGGAAAATAAAAGAAATGTTGTCAAATATTATAAATGTTAAGTACTGCCAAGAAGTTTACACTTAGGTAATATTTAGGACATATTGAGTTAAAGTCAGCAATCAAAGTGTGAACAAGTATCTAGTTCCATGAAAGAAAAATGGTGATAATGTACCAGCACTGCTGGGATTCAGGTCCCAGTCTGGAAAACATCCAGACACTTAAAATAATGCTTGAAGAAAAAGTTCATAAAAACCCCTAGGGTTTCACACAAGTTCATCTAGAACTACTATTTTGAGATCTGAAGAACTGATTTTCCCATGTTCAAATGGTTTTCAGCGTCAGCAAGTCGAGTGAATGCATCAGGATGCAGAGCAGGGACAGGGACCCTGTGGCTTACTTCAGTGGTATGACTTTTTAAACATTTTAAAACTAAATTCTTTTCCCACTGCAGTAATAGTACCCACACATCTCTACTCACTTGCATTTGAAGTTCTCAGGAGTGATATTGTGCTGGTGAGGAAACTGAGAGTCCCATCTCTGGCACTGGATTCCACTCCATATGGTGCTGACTGTGCCGCGGTAACCCTCACCTTGGCCCTGGATGCATGTTGAAGTCTCAGCTGCTGCCTCTGTGCTGTTCGTGATGCTTTCATCTGCAGACCAGAGAGTAAATGCTGTTTCACTCTCTTAAGGCTGGCTGAGGATGTCAGGTTTGAACTCTACTTTGCAGTTCAAATCATGATGATTGGAGTTCTTTGGTGAAATTGCTGATGTGATTACAGAACAATTTTCCCCTCTTCACGTTTACAACATAGACAAAATCAAAGTAAGTGCTAGACCTTATGTTACTTTATCCGCTTGCATGCGGAGAATCTGCAACATTTAATAGCTTTTGTTCTGTGAGACACCTGGCCTGTGTTGTGTCATGAAAGGTCAGAAGATATTCCTGATTACTTTTTTCTGTTCAGCAAGTACCTTCTCATTCTCTTAGCTTTACAAAACTGAGTGACCACCCACGTGTGCACTGTTACACATGTTAATACATATTTGTAGCAATAAAATACAATTGGTTTTCTCTAATGAATTCACAGAATATCAAATCACAGGAAAAAAGTTGCAGATAAAAAATTAAAGCAAAAGATAAATCCTATTATAAAGTAAAGTATTAACTTCTCCTTGAAGTTTTTGGGGGGTTGTGCCTCATATGGTTAAAAGAGGGGAAAAATCCAGCTTTTAAAATCAAAGATCAGTATGCTCTACAGAGAGACAAATGCTTTAAAGACTAACAAATTCAACAGACTCAAGATCTTTTACAGATGTTGATATACTCTGTACTCACCCTGGTGTGGGCTGTCTTGAACTAAATTCAGAAAAATAGTGGTTTTCAAATGACTCATTCACATAACTTGAAAGTCTCTTTTTATTTCTTATGCAATTTTCATAATTGCAAATTAATGGCACAGATATTGCATCAGATATATACGAAGTAGTACAAAACAAAATACCCTGCAGTAAGAGCAACCCTTCTACAATGTCCCCAAAGGTTCCCAATACAATATTTCTGTAAGTAACTGCCCATTTGTTGGTAATTTATATTGTTCAGAAGACTAATTTTATAAATTACTTTAAAAGTATTAGTTGCTCACAATAAGTATGTTAATAAAGTTTTTTAACTAGTTTTCTTCAAATGGTCCAGTGAATAGAAAATATTTGTATGTTACTCATAATATACTTCACTCCTGGTAACTTAAGTCAGTTCTATGAACTTGGAGAGAATATGGATCTTAAGGAAACCAAATGTCATAACAGATGGTTTTGGCTGATTTGCTGACTGATCTTTGATGTTAAAGATCACTTCCCTGTCAAATGATAACATCAGGTTGTGCAGTTGAGTTACACATTTATACACGCATCCCTTTTTCTCTTCATCTGGTTGATGTTTTCAAATCAGTATTTCATGGTCAAATTCATTTCCTGTTCATCCTTCCCAAGGCACTTTTTCTCCAAATGTTGTCCTGTTTCAATGTGATTGTGAGTTCCAAGCTCATTCCAAAGTCAAAAGGATATGGCACTGCAAGTATCACAAGTAGGTTTCTGCAGGCTGACAAATGTGTTCTTTCTAGTGGATTCATCAAACAGACTTGCAGCTAGTAACTATCTTTTTAGTCTTTATAGATTACTTTTAAAATAATTGAACTACAAAAAGATGAATTCATACAACTAATAGAAATAAATAGATGCACATTTCAGTTTTCCATCATAAATAATATATAAAACATATTGGAATTATACTGTAAAATAGCTTCTAAACTGATTGGAGTGGGCATTGCTATGCCACGTTCAAATATATCTTAGTCTTTTCAGAAAATACATGCAAATGTAAGAGATGTAGTGAATAACTTGGGGGGGGAAGAGCTTTCTAATATAAGAAATTTCAGCATAAATCCCGTTTTCATATTATTTTTGTAACTAAATTAATAAACTACAACTACATAACTCTAGTAAAAAGTCTTCTTAAATAATACTACTAATAAGGCACAAAAAAAATCAACCTAATAAAAGCTGTTGCAAATACCTTATATATGCACAAGAAGTTACTATTTCAACTGTAATGAACTATCTGGTACATCTACTGTGTACTCAGTCATACCAGTGAAAAAGTAATTGGGTAGGTGTTTATATATCATCGTGTGGATCTGGGTTTTTAAAATCACGTACCTGAAATGAAGTAAGTAATGCACCAATTGATTTAAGTAAGGCCATAGTCACTCCGTAGAGCATTCCTGTTTGTACGTCGACAGATGCGCAGTTTATTGTCAAACCTTACACTGCATGTCTGGACAGTGACCTCTATCTGTAGATCAGATTTTACAGTTTTTCCATGCCAAAATGTCCTATGTAAAGGCACCAGACAAACTTAACTCTCACATTGTCATGAATACTTGCACAGCCAAACCATCTCAGGAAAGACTTACATTATAATGACTAAGAGAGAAATTATTTCAAAATCTACAATGTGATTATCTGCTGCTACTTTGTGGCAGCTCTCAATAAGAATTCTATTAATGAAAAGGATTGCTAGAATATTCTCATTTTAATTAATACAGCGGTTCCTTCATTCCAAAAGGTCCACAAACCCATCCCCAAACTCTTCGTGCTGTACCACCTGCATTTCCTACAAATGTCTCATTTCAAAACGTGAACAATGAGACTCCAAAATATTTGTGAAATGTTATTCTGAAACAATTCTCTTTCTGGTTATTGAGTCTCACGGAAAACTCAAAACTTACCAATAAAGGCTCGAGAAATCCTTCATTCAGCTGGTGGTTTCCTCAAACAGTCATGATGGGAACAGTCTCCCTGTTCCTGTTAATGAAAGTTGGGCTGGATGTGCACAGGAACATGCAAGAGCTTGAGGAGCAGTGCCTGCCTCACCAGGCATTACAGAGCAGCTCTGCAGACTATAAGGCAGTGCCCAGATTGTCCAAGCCTACAACTTTTATAGTCATCTCCATTCGCTATTGGTCTTGTCCTTGAGGCTAATTACTCATCATCCACATGGCCAATCGTCTAAAGTTTAATAATTCTTAGCATGAACATCAGATGTGCAGAGCACTGGTGAAAGAGCCCTGAGACCACAATCACCAGTTCTTTTACAAGGCAAAATCGGGCTCAAGATAAAAATCCATAAAGCTGAATTCCCATCCTTATCCCTGCAATTCCTCTAAAATATAAATCAAGATCTGCAAACCAAGGGCTTGTTCCAATGAGAAAGATACTATGAATTAAGCTAGATTAATTTAAAATCAATAAGCAATCCTTATTCTGCATTACTTACTAATACTTCATAATATAAGTTCCCAGGATTTTTTTGCTTCAGTTCAAATTTTATAGTTCTGAATCAAGATTAAAAGTACTGTTAAAGGAAGAACACACAATGTATCATCTTATGAAAGACTACTATTTATGATTTATTGATTAAATGTCACTTCCTACTCCTGTATAAAAGCTCATTATGAACAGAAGAATTTGGTAATTGTCAGCAGTATTTTGCTACTTTTGAACTTTGTAGTTTGATTTTTTTTTTTCTAATTCTGGGTGACTAAGATTAACCATGTAATTCAGCCAGCTACATGAGGGTATTTCCCATTAGTAGTATTTCCACCTCCACATGTTTACTCTGAAGTCCTCAACCAAAGTGCAATTATGCAAAGGTATCCTTTTTCCAGAAAACCCTCCCTATTTTGATACTTTAAAATACATAGCTTTATTAATAAGGGCCAGCTCATGCATTTGTAGAAGCTTAAGTAAAAAAAATGAAACATTATCCAGTTTCATGTGTAAAGCCACAGATAGTCTTCTCAGCTCTGGTTCTCACAGTAACACCAGCATGAGGGATCAGCAGGGGCCTTGAGTCATTCGACAGCTGAAGTAACCAGTTAGAGTACTATTTCTGTCTTTAATCCCAGTGACCCAGAAGAAAATCCTGCACAAATTTTAGGTCAATGTGAAGCTCCTACTGACTTAAAAGAAGATAGAGATATTGCTGGAGAATTCATGTTTTTTCATTGCAATATAATCTATGTATTTTTGGAAAAAGACATTGCTGGAAAAGAAGCAGGGTCCTAAATCACATCATGAGGAAAATACCTGCTTTTGCTTATATTCATGTAGTGTCTTTTCTACAGTGTCAGTCAGCAGAAAGAAAATGTGCCCCGATTAGCAAAAAAAATTTTAAAAAGTAGATTTTAAACCTGATCCATGCAATTCTACAAATGTCATTGAGTAAGCTGAGGGATGTTATGAAGCCGCTCATGCTCAGTTGTATTGCCTGTAGGCATCCCTACCTCAAGCAATGACATCTACAGTTCTGGGCATTAGGTTAGTGGTGGTTCCTTCCTTTCCATGTTTTCTTCAGTGTACTAACTCACAATCAAGAAAGATGTGAAAGACTGACTGATTTCTAGTGTTTTGCTTTTTTCAGTAAAAACAAAGGAGAAAGTGAAGAAATCAATTAAAGCCAAGCTCAAGAATCACAGTACTGAAGAACTCATTATCACCTAAAACCTGCACCTAAAACCTTCACATGTACAGTTCATTTGTCCTTGAGCAGAGAGAGACCTTTCCAGGTAGTTTCAATGTCTACAACAAGACTTTAAGTCCAAACAATTTTTATTTTAAATACATTTAAAAAAATAGTAAAAATGGATCCCCTCAGGTTTAGAGTTCTTAAATCTCACTTTAAAAACTATCACAGAAATGATGAAAAGGATTTGAGATGGATCTTTTTTGAGGGAATGTAGATTAAGCTGATGCATAAACAGTGGATGCTGGACCTATTCTATGTCTCTGTGTGAAGCGAGATGGAAGGTAACACTTTATCATCTACTAAATATCAGTCTCTTTTCACTGCCCCCTTTCTATAAACATCTTTATCTTATACAAATATTAAGTTTAAATTGAGTGTAACTTTTATTTGTTTACATACTATCATTCAACAAATAACTCTTTATTCAGAACTTCGCATTCAAATGGGCAGTTGAAATCTCTTTCTAAAGAATGAATAATTTAATACTGGTGAGTATTTTGCCTTCCCAAAAGTTATAGGCACACTGCAATGGTTCATTTTACAACCTAGAGTCTCAATTTTGCTGTTTCATTACTTGTTCTTTCCCATCAAACTTAGACCTTTATTGAATTCTTTCAAGGTTTTTTGAGTTTCAGTCACTCCTGCCTATTGTCTATGAATACTGACAGCAAAGGCTAAATCCATAATAAAGGCATCTGGGTTGGTTGGAAATCAGGTGGGCCTCAACAGTACACTGTCCTTAATAATTCCATGTAACTCTGAAGCTCTTAAATGACTGACATAAGTAGTTTCATTTCTGGGCCTCAGCATCTCTCTTATAGCCTTATAATGGATCCATAGAAGAGCTGTTACCCATTTTTTTTTATTTTAAAGTAGCATTAGTTCCCTACTCCTGTCTTCCCTGTAGTTCATGTCCTCATTCATGCCATAATAACAGTCATTTTCTTTTTTCATGTTTGCTGTCACTGCTTCCATTTCTTCATTTCATCCTACACTTCTTCATTGCTGTTAGTTGTCCTTTTATCCTCTCTTCTAACTAAAAATTGTCTCGAGCCAAAACCACAGACACATATGTGAGCAACTTCAAACCAGTCCTGGGGTCCCTGAAGTCTTAATCCAAATCCAGTTTTTGCAGCTTGAGCCATCTCTAATTCCTAATTGTTCCTGTCATCTCTTTTTCACAGCCCTGGCTGTAAGCCACAATGTTTTATGCTGTATTCTGTGCTTGGAAGTAAAATTACAATGCCCTCTCTCTCTTCAGTTTTAAAACCATATTTATTTTCTAAATGCTTCCTTCCACCGACTTTTTTGCTGAAAATTTTGTATATGAGCTGTTGTCAGCATTTTGGCTATAGAGCACACTAGCCCTCATGACATGTAGCAAAAGCCACAAGCAGCATGCTGCCTTGTGGTCACTCCCCCAAAGAGAGGACACCTACATTTTTGTATACGGTCCAAGAACTTGGATTTTGCAAAGTATTTTTCCTAATTAGAATTTCTTGTAAATTAAATAAACAGTCCTCAGCATAGGAATTAAAAACCTGTGTGAGAATCCAAACCACAAAGCTATAAAGACCTATAACTCATGATGTTCTCTTTTTAGTGCACTGAGATTGCAAACAGCCACAGCTTCAGAAACACAGAGCAGCCACTGAAACTCAGAATAGCCAAGTGTTTTGGGCTCCCTGCTAGGAGGTGGGAAAAGAGTTTTTCTATGTGCCTCAAAAAAGACAGAAAACTGAAAATAGGGCTTCGATATTTTGTGTTGGTATTCTGGCTGTTGATACAACAGTAGTATCAGCAATAAATTCCCTCTGTGGGTTATAAAAGAAAGCACTGAGCAGCATTGCATCTTATGTAGAGGGCAGTACCATATGCCTGTCCGAAACATCCATTGAAAATATCTGCTGGATTAAGCACTTTCAAGACCACCACTTTTGTATACTTCCTCAAATAGATTGCCTTATTAATTTACAAAAATCTACAATTTTCTGCAGTGAAAATACAGTTTTATATGGGAAATTTCCACTGATTTTAATGTATTTTCTAATTGAAGATAAAAGAAAGAATTTCTAGTTACTTCAGTCAACTTTTGCCTAGAAACAAGATCAAAGACTTTCATCACAACATTAAAATAATTTCACTATGGGTTTTGTTTTTAAATTTCATTTTGATCTTTACCTTTTATTAAGGACTCTAACTGTGATTTGGTAGACAGAGGTGATAATCCAGTAGTTTGCAGGAGATCTCCCACCCAACTATTTTATAAAGCTTTGGCCAGACTGTAGATACTGAAAGTTGCATGGACTGTAACTTTACGTGCCCAACAAAGCCAGATGTGAATCCTCAGAACACTGACACATCAGCTCAGGAAATGCCAAAGGATAAAGGTTTATAAAAGTTGCATTTGTGAAACAGTCAGCTGTAACGTAGGAATATTTTTCTTTCATAATAAAAACATATCCAGCAGGGGAAAAGAACAGATCTAGTATGCTACACATGATTCATACGTTATCTAATAACTGGAGAAGTGTAGGAAGCACAGTTTAATTTAAAAAAAAAAAACACAAAACAAGGCAAAACCCAGACCAACACAAGCCAAAAATCCAAAGCAACAGTTCCTAAATTAATGGATTAACTAAAAAATTGAAAGATGATTCAGTTGTATAACTAAGGAAGCCTGTGTTCACAAAGGGGAAAGACTTAGCTTTCCCTATTATTAAAGATTATCAGTAAGTCTCAGTATAAATGACATGAACTAGTACTGTAGTTCACAGGTAAGAATTTCAATATGGGTGTGACTTCATGGGTGCCTGACCCAAAACAAGCAGTGGTCCTGTTAAGTTCCCTCTGTCTCTAGAAAACCTTATTACAGACATTGCCCAAAGTAGCAAATTAGCCTCACCTTTTTTTACAGTGGAATAATATAGATAATGTAACTACCTTATACTGGATTTACAATGACTTATGATAGAGCAGAATAAGCTCAATTACTCTGCATCTGGAAGTACATTAAGAGTATTCTTACTCAACCCTTGGATTTCAAAAATTGATGAATTCATTAGAAGTGACTGAATCTCCAAGACGTTAGACTGGCTTAAGCTAAGAACAACCAAGGAGAGAAAATTCTGAATTGTTGGTGGTGGAAGCAGAAAACACGGCATATTTTTTTTTAAGAATCCTAAGTGAAGATGAAGAATGCCATGTTTCTTCCTTTAGATAACAACTGCTCACATACACAGCTTCATGCTGTAGCCATTACCTCTTCCCCTCCTGCCTGCCTCAGTATTTATGTATATGCTAACATCATAGGGAAAATACAGATTACATTTTGGAAACAGACTTTTTGCCAGACTCACGCTGTCTCTATTTTACCTTGATTTTAGATACACCAGTAATGGGTTATCTTTATATATATATCATGAGCTACAAAATATAGAGGACCTTGAAAATTAAACAGTTTTTAAAAATCACTCCTTTTGTGCTTGAGATTTTTTTCCACTTTTTGAATTCTCACATTAAGCCACCATCAGGTGAGCTTTATTGTTCTTTTTAATTGATTCTATTCTCCTGTTCTATCCTCCTCCTAAGAGAGACAAATTAGTTTTACAATGAGCCTACTGAAGTGACACAGAGCTAGATGAAAAGGAGACAGTCTGGTTTCGAGAACAATTTTTTAACACTTCATTTTGGTCGAAGTTCAAGCAGGACAACAATATAAAAGTCAGAAAAACTGACTTTCTCATGAGCTAATATGACACTGAGTTTGACTGAGAAGTTTTAGAAGCTTCCTTTTGCCTCCACTTCATGGAAAATCCAAAAATAGTTTCCCCTTTTCTGCTTGTTTTCCTGGGGGGCTCTGCCACAGGGTTGGGGCACATGAAGTTGAAAGGTTTCCACAGTATGGGTTCAGTTAAAGTTATGCCTCGTTTAAAGAAATTGTCTTTGTTCCCAAGATGTTATAAATAAAGAATTTTGAGTAAAGAGAATAAAACAAAAACAGTTTAGGTACTAAGAAACTGCCATTAATATGATGCTTGCACATTATTTCAAATGTTGTCCATTCACTGGGGCAAAATAATGGCCCCTAAATACGGCAATGAGAATTGTGTGAGATAAGATGGGATACTATCACCTGTAGAATCCATAAGCTGTGAATGAGGCAAGGAATTCCAGGGATGTGAATCCTGGTTTCCTGATTAAAGCATGTCTCAACAAAACTGAATTCTACCATCTGCGTTAGCAACAGCAATATCATGAAAGTCTAGAAAAGTTTTCAAGAGAGGTTCAATAGTTTTAACTTTCTTATTTTTCCTCCACATCTCTAATTATCTATTTAACCTCTAATTATCAGTGAACAGAGCTGTCAGAGCTATCATGAAAGTTAAGATGATCTGGGCTTTGAAGATAGAGGATGCTGCAGGATGCTCTGAAAATGTTGAACAAAAGCATCTCAAAGAGGACATCTGATATTTGTATACCTTAATGTCATTTTGATTCCATTCTCTATCTGTAAAGTAAGGATAGTAAATGCCACCATCTTCTAGCTGATGGATGAAAAGAAATTAATTGCCTGAGGAGTGCTTTGATATGGAGTGCTGAATATCAGAGAAAAACCCATGGGGAAATTAATAATTCTGTGTTCAGCACAAGAGTGGATAGTGTGCAGGACCCAAGGCCTAGAACTGCAAAGCAGTGAAGAGTTGTTGGCAGAGAACTCTGAGTAGGGATGGTGTGTATATGCAGCTACTCTTAAATGATAATGCAAATGCCCAGCATGGTCAAAGTAAGAATGTACATGAGGTCTCCATGATTTTGTTGCCTCACTTTTTTTGGTTCTTGATTTTCCTGCATTTTATTGCAACTTCCAGTATGTAAGATTTTCACATATTCCAGTGGTAAGTAATACACAACTCTTCTTTCCTGTCCAGATTAAAAAGAAAATGTTTATAGGAGACCCTCTTTGAAAGCTATGTTTTAAAAGCCAGTGAAGGGCAATGAACGAACTAGCGGTGGTCCTATACTCCTTGAAATATTTGTGTCCAGATTTTGGAAAGGAAAAGGAAGTAATAAATTTTGCTTGAACTCACCACACATTTTAATTGCACAGAACTCCCAGGGGGTGTTAGGGTCAAGAGTGTAGCACCATGGTCTCAGCTTGCCATCGGGATTGCGGCAGTAATTATCATCAAAGCCCTTGTCAGGATATCTGTAAACCACAATGAGAAACGTGTCAAGGAAGTCTTCCTGCCAACACTGCGGAGGCTTCTACAAGGTACTTAAAGGACAGACTTCAGCAGAGGCAAACAAGAACCAATTCCTATTTACCTGGGGTCTGATTGTGTAAGATGGATGCAACTCTTTTAATACTGTTAGAAAGCTAATAACTTATAAACAGTTTCCAAATATACAGCAGAATCAGATCTCCACTGAGGGGATTCCCTGCTGTGCTAATGCACAGGGTACCGGATGTGGTAACTCCGCTAATTGCTAAACACTTGCTCTTGTGTCTGTCAACTGATGACCAGACACTGAAGCCACTCATTTTTTTTAAACAGCCCAATTAAGTGTGGATTATATAAACACTGTCTGCCATGCTGGACTCATTAACAAAGCAGGTTCTTCAGTGCAACAGCCCTGGGTTCAAACTGGAAGCTATTTTGAGTAGCAATTTTACTAGTGATCCATTTTTGTAACAGAGCTCATTCTTGGTCATGCTCTCATTTCAAGTACTGGGAGAAAGAAGAAGTAAGGAATTAACTTCTGTCTCACTTTATCTCATTAAGATTTGATACTATCGTGCTATTTAAATGTTTCCACATTCCTACTGTCATCATTGAACGGTCAGAGAGATATTCAACATAAGTAGGGTTTTTTTGCATAAATGTGCAATGATAACATCTGTAAACTTAAAGAGAAAGAGATAAATTAATCCTATTTTTTTTCCTCTAGTGAATAAAAATTGTCTTGGCTTTCCAATTTTATTGAAATGTGTTACTAAAAGAAACAAAAAGTAGATTTGCCCTGAGGGAATCATGAAAAGTATGTAAGAGAACAATAAAGTTAACTACCTGGGAACTTGAATCCATTTACAACTGCAAGCAGATGTGTTTCACAGAAGCAGAGGAAAATATGATTTACAAGTGTGCGTCTTTGCTAGGATGCTTTTCATGCCAAATGTTCATGCTAATTTTGACTCATGCATTTGCAACTTGATCTCCCATTCCTTAGGAAAGTTGGGTTCCTTCAACTATACAAGGGACAGGGACAGGATTTAAGCAGAATTAAAAAAAAAATCACAGAAAAAACAGCAAGGAGAAACCTCACCAAACTAAGAATTCAATGGCAGTCAAGAATGTGGTAGTTTCAGATCTAGCAACAGTACCCTGTTTTCTGCTAGGTGAAAGATGAACTGTAAAGGAACAAATTGTGTCCAAGGATTTCATTAGGAAGCAGTTAATGGGCTAAGAATACAGTAGAAAACGAGATGACTTTGGCCATCCAGTAGATGCAGTGATGAGCTTTGATGTCGGTAGAACACATTCCATGTCAAGTAGCATGGAGAGTTCATGTCACTACCTAAGAACCAAGATGAGTCCAGGAAACAAATGGGGATGTAAAGGATCCACTTTCTAGAATACAAGTGTCTTTCCACAATATTCAGACATGCTTCTGCCTTCCTTCATATCCAGCAAGCAACAATTCCTACAAAAAAACGCAAACTAACACCTTTAAGACACAAAGGTTAAATAAACAACAACAGGACTTCAAGTTGTTCCACACAATTCCGTAGTGAGGCTGTGGAGGATTCCCTGAGAGCTAGTCCCTTTGATCTGTACACTCCTCCTTCCCAAGTACCTTGGACACAGACTCCTTGCTTAAACCTAACCTAAAGAGCCTGAGGTTTCAGAGATCTTTCAGAACTCTACATATTTTATTTTTTTCCCCTTGAAAAAAAGGGGAAGTTGTACTTCATTTATTAAACTGAAATGAAGCATCAAGATACACATCTGGTGTCAAAATCAAGACTTTTTCTCATTTTCTAGAGAGGAAGGAGAGTATTAGTCAAAGAGATAACATTTATTCTTTTTAAAGAGACAGAGGCTGATCTCTAGCTATCCTGGAAGTTAAATGAAATTTAGTACTAAAGCTCTTCACCAATATTTATTTTCCCTTTCTTTTTTTTTTTTTTAAAGATCTTGGAAACTTGATTTTTTATAAAGTAAATTTTCATACAAGAGATATAAACCAGGGTATTAATAAAAGGATTCCTACAGTCGTTCATCTCTTATGCTACACTTCAACCCTACTTTCCTCCTTATAACAAGTATTTTCATGGCATATTTGACTTTGAGCAGAAAATACAAGCAGAAAAGGAGAAAAATTTTTCCCCTCTACACTGCTCTATGCCTAAGTCATTACCCTCAATGGTCTTCCTTCCATGATGCCTGTGAGGAGTACACAAAAGAACTGGAGCTTTAGAATACAATTCTGCATCCACTAATAGCTAAAAATGGGCCATGCAGGAGTTGTTTGGGGGGTTTCTTCTGCTAACTTCAATCAAATCTGAGTAAGCAAGGGCTGATTATCAATTCTGGTCGGTAACTGACCTCTGAGGGGAATGAATGTGGAACAACTCACTGAGGTGACAAAAAGCAAAAGTGAGATTTATTCACCCTGAGTTGAAAGCATTGTCCAACAGCAGGTAGACTGGAGCATTTAAATGACTACTAGCTTTGTTTCCTTTTCTTCATAGTTACAACTGGTGAAGCCATAAATGAAAATAGGTTTAAATCTGCCTAGATTGTCCTTCCTGGTTTACAAGTTATTCACATTACACATTATAAATGTCTCTAGAGACTACTGTGTTTTAATGAATCATTTGTTCCAAACCTCTCCTCTTATTTTTAACTTACATGACCATTAGAAAAAAAACAAACCACAAAGCAAATCCCACAACATTTTTAAAATCTAGTAAAATTAAAGTATAATTGTTACTACCATGAAGGTAATTAATATCAGTGTATTAGAAATGCATTGGGCCCCATTACTCTTCTGAAAGCTCATACAAATCAATTCAATCTGGATGGGTTGCTATTTGATAAAAAACCCCACTTTTATTACAGTCTGAAAACTCTCAAGAAGATGTTTTCTGAAGGAAATAGTTCAAGGAGGAACACAATTGTTGGTAAGACTGCTGTTAGTCTGAAAAATCATTTTGCAAACAATTAGAAATTAATGGAAAAAAAGAAATTTCCTCCTGACAGTAAAATTGTTATTATTTGTACTCAGAAGTTCTACAAATGTTTCACTCCCAAGGAACAAAACTCTTTCAGTGACTTGTTCTAGAATGCACAGTAAGTGCATGGCAAAACTCAGATTATCTTCAGTCCCAGTCTGCTAATACAAAATATTTATTGTAGCGGAGCTGTGGGATGCCTGCTATTATTCATGAAGCAGATCATCTGAGCCAAGGGAGAAAAGAGATTATATCACATAAACTCCAAAACTTCAGATCCTTAATGTTTTGCTGAATGATCAGGCTTTCTAAAATCTAGTAGTATTCACATTATTGAGTATAAAAATAATGCTTTATTTAGTGAAACACTTTGACATATATAAAGATCCTTTCAGTGAAAGATCTTAATCATTCTGGGTTTTTTGATTCTTGCAGTCTTCCTCTGGCAGTTTATTTAGTCCAATTTATAAATGGAGTTAATCCAAAATCCAGAATAAAACTAAAATGAAACTGTAGTCCAGTTTAGATGATCACAGAGGCCTTCCTATGTGGCCTAACCCCCACCCATGCCCATGCCCCACAATCCTTCCAGAAGGGTGTATTATAGATGACCAGTTGTGGTCAGGTGAATTTTGCCCTCTAGGACAAACCCTAATAGGGATGAAATTTGTCTTTGTATTTCTGACTCAACTTTTGGCATTATGCATTCATGCCTAAATTAAAAAAAAAAAGAAACAAATCTAAGATAGAAATCCACAGTCATAAAGTACTAAACAGAGCAATGAAGTCCTTTCCCAGGCTGAAAAAACATATCCAGTGAGCAAATATTTTGGTCAAACAAATTGGGTACTTAAATGTGATTATAACAGAAGATCATCCACAGCTTTAAGGCTATTCAATATCTCAAAAAGGAGAATAATGTTACTTGATGATATTGCAAGTTTATATTCACAATTGTGTCAAGAAGTCTAACAAAAAATTATGACTTTTAATCATTATTTACTTTGTGGAGACTTTAAGGTATTTTAAGCTCACTGAAGCTGCAAATCAATATATACAGAAACATTCAGGGGTTAATTTTTTAGTATCAATGAAGTTAATTTTGATCAATTAATGCAGCACATGCACACCACTACACTAAACCGGCATGGGATGTAGTCACAACTGCACAAAACAACCTCTAGTTCCTATCCCGCATTTCCATTGTGACAGTAGCCAGCCTACACTATGGACCAGAAGCCCAAATATCTAAAACTGATGACATCCATAAATTTCAGTTGAGCTCACGCTAGTTTTACTCAGCTGTTTCCAGAATGTGTGCAATTTTCAAATTATGACCACATGGTCTTGCTTGGGGGGGAGGAGAGGTTACCTCTCTGGTCGAAATTTGTGCTTGTGTGGTCTCTGAAGATCCCAGCGCTGACACTCCTTGCCCGTCTCGGTGTGATCCATTGGCCCTCTATAATTCTCTCCATTGCAGGTCATGCATTCAACTAGGGAAAAAGAAAAGTAGACACTAGTCATTTATTGCACTGATGACTTGCACCACAAAAAAAAGAAGAAAGTTAAAAAGAAATAAATCACATCCCCGCTCTTATATATTGAAAACAAACTAAAGAGTTATAAAAAAATGGTACCTTTTTGTGAGTTAGTGTGGGTAATGCCCTTTGGAACAGAATAACATCTCTTTCTTAGATCTAATCCAGGATCTTAAATTTGATATCACTTTATAGGACACTTACAGTTTTGAGGCAGGTAGGGGTCAGCTGCTAGAGGCATTCATGTTCCTAAAAGATTTTTAACCTCGCTTATGGTTAGTAGCAGAGAGAGACACATATCTAAGGAAGAAGTATTTTTTAAAGGTAGTGTTTTCCAATTAAGTATCATCCATTATTTCAAGTCACTCTAAGTCTGCTATAATTACAGCACGAGTTTAAGTGCAGAATAATGGCTGAATCCCAATTTCAGTGCAGTACAGTATATTTTTTAAATTCCCAGCACTTTCAGCTACATATGATACTGTTTCTTTTCGGTGATAATTCTTTTTGGCAGCTTACACTAAGATACATTTTCAGCCCTGGTTTGGGAAAGTGGAGGGGGGTAGAGGGAGAATGGGCAAAAACTACTAAAGGGATTTGAAACCACTGTTGAACAAAATTTAGATTTAGAAGTCAGAAAATATAAAATAAATTCATCATAACTAACTGTAGACAAACTTCTCAAGTATTCCCTAATCAGAGTAATTTTAAAGAAGGATCACTTTGAAAATACTATTTTATGCATTTACAGATCTCACTCTTCAGTCAAAACATCTGCTACCAAAGTCTTCATTCTGCAGTGAGCTCCAGGTATTATCTCATTTGAAGCTCATTTAAATTTATCTTTAAATGTTAGGCTTTAATAGGTTTTCAAGCTCCTTGTAAATTATTTGCTTCCCCCTTCTCTCCCTCTCTCCCTCCCTCTCCTTTTAATTCCCCCACAACACCACAGCTATTGCATGTGACACATTAGCAGGAAAATTAAAGGCATCCTATCTTGAGGATTTAAATGAGTTGATTGATTGGAACTGAATTGGCTGATTAGCAAGATATAAGAGCTTAGTTTGGAGGTTAACAGAACTTAAAAGTCAACAAATGCTATGGTGCACATGAAGTGTCTTTCGAATTCTGTGACTTGAAAGTCAAATGGGATTGGATTTATAGTTATACTTATTTACAGTATTTATTTGAAAAACAAAGGGCATGCTTATCCTGAGCTTTCATCTTGTAATTCGGTATCTAAATTTTCATCAAAAAGAAGAGGAAAAGCTGATTTTACCATGGAATGGAACTAGATGATTTTATCACATAGTAATACTGAGACTGTAATGGATTCACTATGGACTAGACAAGCAAATCACATTTGTGTGTTCAGCACAATTACACTGTTCAAGCTCCTCCATGACCTGAAAAAAGCTGCTGAGCCTGAAACTTTGTTCAAATATTCCAGCGTATTGGATCATACAAGAACTTCTCTTCCTCTAATACCTCCTTTTCTTTCTATGTGAATTATTCTTGCTGAGAAATCACCTATTCTTTATCCAAAGGCCACAAGCAAGTGACTACTGGAAGTTCTGTTCAGCTGCTGTCAGCAGAGCAAAAGCAGCTTTCTGCAGAAGTCATGCCAGGTTACCTTCTGAGCAGAGGGGGATGTCACAGACCTCGTGACGCATCTCTGGACTGGTGGTGAAACACCACGGGCCTCCCTCTTCCCCTCGGGGGTTCCGGCAGTAGTTTTCCCTCAGGTCTTTTCCCCGATAGCTCGAAGGCAAAAAGCTAGTTTTAAAATGACAATCATTACAGTATAAGAGCATGCAAACTTTGGGGTTAATCATACTATTTTTACAAATAGTTAGAAAAAAAATCACATTTCTGCTTCCTTCTCCCTCCATCCCACCTAAAGAAATGTAACCCCCCAAACATCTGTCCATGCAAAAATACACATCTTCAGTAGGGATTACTCCACCTAAATGGCCTAAATCTGGGACAATTTGTCTAGCCTGTAGCATGCTGTAGTGAGTTTTACTCCCATCCCTCAGCTGTCCAGAGCCAACTATCTACCACAGAACCAGAAGCAGCCACACACTCCCTGCCAGCCACCCTGTGTTCTCCCTCATGAACTGTGGGTGCATAGGGGAAAAATTCATCGGGTCTATAGCCAGTCAGACCTGTCTTTCCTGTGCTTGTTGGCACAAACAACGGGTCCATTTGGGCTTAGACTAAAAAGTCCACAAGCAGAGAAACCTCTTTGCATCCCTGCTCAGGCAGCAGCTAGAACTGATCATCAGGAGCATGTGAGCGTGACTGAGTGGTGTGATACACCTCGCCAAGAGGCTTTCACTGCATGAAACCATGGACTGCTTTGCATTTCAGCATCAGAAATTTCCCCAGATGTCACTTAAGCTGTCTTGCTTCATATTCTGCCACAAGCCTGACTGTTGTCACCTTAGGGTCTGCTACTTACAGACCTATTCATCATTTCTATTGCATAAATTAGAGCATTTAACAGTAGCCCAGCTGACTTAAACTGTCCAGGTGCAAGGTTTGTCTTCCCAACTATCTGTAAATGTATTTGTTTACCTCTAGAGAAACCCTCACATGCACACTGACATATAAACATAGGCATACACATATATATATTTACACATAAAAGTTTGTTAGTTAATTTTCTCCTCCAACTAAGGAACTGTTAACTCCATAGCAAGGAACCAAACCCCAGACTGGTCTGTTCAATGCCACTGTAACAGGTCACGACCACGCTCAGGCTGCACATTGCAGACAAATCCAGTGACATTTCACTGCCAGTTTCGCTGCAGTGATGTTTAAACTGCAGCTAAATCTCTGTAGCTAGAAAACACCTTAAATTCAGAGTGATCTGTGTGATCTGTTCCATGAGGGTTTTTTTGTTAATTAAAACACTGGGCAAACCGCATAGGGGATCACACAAAACCTGTAACTGAATTAATTAATTGATTTAATTTTTGAACTTTCTAAGATTTGCTTCATTTTTTTTTCTGTCAGTATATTTAAGTTATTAAATTTAAAAAAAATTGGCCATGTGACATTTTAATCATGTTTTATTCCCATTAATGAAATATTTGAACTAACTGAGGTGAAAAATACCTCTGTTAATTACATTGTGGTTCTAGCCAATATAATGTGGAAGTATTACATAAAAGTGGGTTTTTTATCTTTTTTTTTATTTTTGGTGCTTTAAGAGAGTACTTTTATGTCATTGCTGCTGCCTATAAAATGATTGCTTTTTTTTTTTCTCTGTGGTCTTGTAATATAAATATCTTAAATGTTTTTTAGTTAAAGACAGCCCTGGGGAAACATTTCTGATAGGATATTCCAACCGGCAAATATATTAAAGTAGTATGTCAGTGCATATAGGATCATTTTATTTAACTCTTCTGCTCAGAAATTATGGACATAAGAAAATATAGGGAAAAGGCATCTCAAATTGTATCAGATATGCTATAAAAACATTAAAAAAAAAGGCTGAATGAATAACCTTAGAAACGCAAGATGAGTCAGATAAACAAATGGCTTCAACAGGTACTGAAACAATGTTCTTGAGAGAGGAAAAGATGAGTTGCAGTGAAGGTCCATCCAGAAATGGAAGAAAGGGCCACTCCTAAGATTGTTTGATGATTTAGTTCAACTACATTAGGTAAGGAAAAAAAGAAAAAAAGCCAAAAAACTGAAGCCAGTAAGAGTAATGGTAAAAACAGATTCAACCACCCAAAAGTCATGGAAATTAGCCAAAAGCCTGTGAAGCACTGGTCTACTTTTTGACCATTTTTTTGAGCCCTTTTTACATTGGCTTTATCCATTTAATACTCTCTAAGAGTCCTGCAATCTGTACCGGGATGGAGATGAAAATAATAGAACCCTGGGTTTTGCTGGGAGTCTCTGTGTTCTACTGGAATACAAATCAATAAAAATATGACTCATTGGATTCAAGCACAACTTTAGTCTGTAGTTATTTCTATTCTGTCTAGAAATATAATTTAAAATCATTTAAGTACATTTTCCTTTAAATATGAAATGGGGATTTATTTTACAATGGCACATTGAGATAATCAGATGTTGAGAAAAATTGACCTAAAAATCTAAGCCTTTTGTACTAATAAGTTCCAAACACACCACTACTGTCTGCTTCTTCCCATCTCCCTCATGTCTCTGATGATGAAATCATATTTTCTGATGTTGAAAAACAAAATTAGCATGCAGCCACCTCATTTATCCGGTGACCTTTAAAAAATTAAACTTATTGCACAAGGCAGGAGAAAAGTCATTCTCATAAAATTCATCGTAGAAGAGTGGGTGTCCAAATGTGATAAAACTGTGTATGTTGTGTATTAAAATGCAATTCAGTGATAATATGCACTATAAAGACACTTTCCTTTCTCTAATTATATAAAGTCATATGTATATTACACAGAATAAATGCTCATTCTTGCTTAGTTTGTAATTATTTAGAATTCTTTCCCTTCTGAAAGATGAAGATTGTATACTTCAAGGTGTTAAGTCTCAAGAGGTCACTGCTGTGGGACCTGGTGATATTTATGATATGCTCCCAGCCAAGAACAGGTCTGGCCCCACTCTGAAAATCAGACTCACTACCATCGATACTGTAAGCAGCCAAGTCCAGTAAGTCCAAGCCTGAGGCTCAGCTTTGTAACACATCATAAGAGGAGAGAACCAAGTATCCTTCGCCTTTTCATGTTGTTCCAAGATATCATCTTGTACACTGGATTGATTTGGTCAGGGCAGGACTGAGCAGTTCCTCAGTCCAGTTCCTCATTAGCAATCTCCAGTTTGGCTCCTAAAAAAAGTGCTGATGCTGGGAGTCTGGAGCAAAAGGCAGCAACATAGACAGGACGCTTATGGGTGAGAGGACATTTTAGTTTTGTCTCTTAAAGTTTTATTATCTAAATGGCTAAAGTCAATATAAAAAGATTCAAAGAGAAATGGTCAAAGAGTAGACCAGTACTTCATAGTCCTTTAACTAGTCTCCAGCAATGTTTGTTGTGGATGACTCTGCTTCTACCACTATTCTTACTGGCTTCACGTTTTGGCTTTCTTCTCTTTTCCTTAGACAATGAAGTCTAACGAGCTTTACTCTCAAGATGTAGATTTGGCCTCAGTTTTTCATTGTATCAGGTCTTAACCTGAAAAGTTAAGTCCTGTACCTGCTGCATCAGTCTTTAGTTATTGCCAGTATGATGTGAAGGAAAGGATTTCAATAGTCTCTTCAGTCCTTTCTATGTGTTTGTTGCCTGGCCTAAGTGCTCTATAGAGTTTAACGTATTCAACAAATAGAAGAGAATTAACAACAACTATGCAAACTATAGTAAAAATAATTATATACTAAACAAATAGGTGGGCTATCCCCCACCTCCTAATAATGGGGTTTTTAAAATTGCCCATTCCCTAGGAGACAATTAGAAAATTGTGATAAACTTCCAGATCCCAGGCTGAAGTTATGCAGATGTTTTGTTCCTGTCAGTAACTAAGAGATCAAAAGGATATAAACCGCTAAAAACACTGACACAGGAAAGGAAGGGATACAGACACACAGGCTGGTATTAAAAGAGGCCTCTTTGGAGAAAGCCCATGAAAGTAAGGATTTTCTGGGATCTAGAGAATTGCATCTCTTGGAGAAAGGCAAGAAAATATCGAAGAGATTTTGTTGTCTAAGGTTAGTTTTCCCATAAATTCTTATGCTTTATGGAAGCTGTCTCGACACTATTCCCATTGTCTCTGCTCCTGAACTCTTACCTGTGCTCATGGGGGATCATTGAATTCCAGGCCTGACACTGGATACCACTTTTGGTAACAGATATTGTTCCTTTATAGTCTGCTCCTTTCCCGATGATACAATTCCTGACATAGTCTATTGAAATAAATAAGACAATTAGGGTTTTGGTTAATGCAATATAAACTAAAGTTCATAATCTCTTTTCTAATAAATTATATTATAATAAATATTATAATAAATAATATTATAAAAATAATATAATTTAATAGCCTTTAAATTCCTAATTATTCAAAATGCTGTTTAGTTGTTGGCATACATTCATGTCCCCTTTTTTTTTCCAAAATACTGATCACTAACTGACTTAAAAACTCTCCTGAAAATGTTTCCAACATGTGTGATTGAACAAAACTCTTTAAGTCTGATGACTGAAGTCTCCCACTCATTAGTGAGGTGAATAAAAACAATATTAAGTCAAAAATGTTAACATACAGCTGAGCTTTTAAGTAGTAAGATGAAGTACCAATTTAGGCTAGTATGTATGATGGCAGGCAAATATGTACATTGGAAAACTGACCAAGTTTGTAGAGGAATTAGCATGACAACAAACTCAGGATATGTGTAAATAAAACTGTAAAATGCAACTTTCAAAATTCATAGAACTGTCCCTGCCCAGGATGTTCCTCCAGTCAAAAATCACTAACTGACCTCAGGGGTTCTTTTCTCCCTTCATTGCTGGAAAAACAAAATCAGTAAATAAATCAGTTACCCTTCTTTTCATACAGATCAAACGCATGGTCTTGCTTCTTTCTCACACCATTTGTCAAGCTGTTGAAGGATAACCAATGGCACCGTTTTGTAACTCTGTCATAAGCAAAGGCCCTGAAAAGAAAATCTGGATGAGAACAAAAATCTCTGTGTGGTTTATAATAATGACACATGGCCTGCCAAAGAGCATGCAATGACATCAGATTTATTTTTACTGGGAAAGTCAGAGAAACAGTCCAAATTACTATTTAAACCCACAACTCTGCTGACAAGAGCAAAGAAACAAAGAAATTAAATTGATGTGGCCATTACATTAAATACCAGCTTAGTTGTTCACACTAATCTAAGAGTTCCCTTGTCATTAAAGATCTTTATTTTAAAAGTGAGATAAATGTGCCTGAGACAGCATATGTGTCCCCAGTTATGCCGCTTTCGGGGAAAAAAAAAGGAAGACTCTAAAACATCCTTTTTTGTTATGCTTACAATATGGCTCTGAAATAGTTCCATATCTCACACTGGTGGCTTGAGGAAAATTCAAGAGCAAGAAATCTGTTTCTTAACTAGATCAACAGAGCTGCTTAAAAACAAGATTCTTTGTATTTTTATGAATAAACTAAGCTGTGATAGTGTGCCTAGAGTTTGTCCTTGCCTTGCTTTTGTTTTCTTCTTTTCTCTTATTCTAACTGCTTTCAAGGATAGAGCACAATGTGTGCTGAATTGACTGGGTTGAGGGGAGGGCAAGAAAGACAAACAGAAATCAGAAGAGTAAAAACACCTTCTTTCAATATTTGAAATGAAAAATGCAGGCTTTTTCTCTTAACATCATTTTGAAAGGATAGACTTTAAGTGTAGGTAAAATGTTTTAAAAGATTTTAAGAACATAATTGACTGCCTTGGAGGGGGCAACAATTATTCCAATAAGGATAGAAAAATAAGACAGAAAAAAACCCCACAGGTGTTTTTTCCTTAACTTTTTTCATTAGAACAAAACAACAAATCATGGACATCATACTGTTGCCTCTAGCCTACCACAAAATCTACATTTCTGTCAGTCATCCCATACCTTCTAAGATATTTTATTCTGATCTGAGAAGGCATTTTATCACTACTTGATAATACTGAAAAGACACACGGATTTCTTACACTTCACCCATATTTTGGCCGTGCCATATTCTTAAACACTGCATCCCTCAACAAAAAACTGTTTGATCTTCATTTAATTCACCATACAAGCTTTCTTGTGGGAGATCTTGCTGGTTTCGCTTAAAAATATTACACGATCCAATCCAATCTCCCCAGTCTTCTCTCTTTCAAACATCTTCTTCATTATCGTTTCCATCACCAAACAGATTTTTCATCCAACTGCTCTCTCTACTCTGTTGACTCCAAATGTTTCCAACCTGCTAACCTTCATCCTTCTGCCCTTGTGCAGCCTTCTGTTCTCTTCTGGCTGATTCTCAAATATGAGCATATCCAAGTGCCTCTAACTCCATCTTCACAAAAATATCCTTGACCTTTCCTGCCTTTCAGATTACATTCTCTTTTTCACTCCTCCCTCCTAAAGTGGGAATGCAGAATGCACTGTTTACAAACAGTTCTTTCAGTTTTTGCCTTTCAGTTGCCTTTTGGTTTCTTTCCAGTTTGGCTTCAATCACTTCTGCACATAAAAGTTTCTAACAATCTTTTCTTGGACCCAAATCTTGAGACTTTTTATGCTTCCAAAGTCAACATATTTGAGAAAATTCTTGGACTTTCTTCTACTGATACTGATGATCACAACCATTTTTTCTTGTTGCTCTTTGTACTGAGATAGTCAGTAGATTTTCTCATCAGGTACTGAAATTCCGTGATCTATACTGGAATCCCTTCCTGTGTAAATGGAGACACTCCAAGCAGATAAAGGATGAGACAGAGGCGACTTTGTCGCTAAGAAAGGGACATACCTGCAAAAGTCACCTGCATAGGTAATAAAATAGTAACTACATTATCTTTTTATCCTCCCTAGTAAATGTAGTGGAAAAACCTGCAAAAATGACTGAAAGAAAACAGTGGGAATAATGGACTGCAAAGGGTGATGAAACTCAGGAACAGAAGAGCTTAGCAGCAGCAGGTTGATAAAGCTTATTGAGAAGGCACAAAAGGATGCACAGAGATTTATGAAGTTAAAATGACAACATAAATGAATCTAAGGAGTTCTTTGATGGAGGGTTTTAGGAATAATGTTATAAAAAAGAAACAGGTCTAGATAAGGATCTTGTAACTCAGTCGGAAAGAACAAGATCTGTGCAAGCATGAGAGCAAGGGAATAGAGGAAACATCTGTTCTGAAAAGTGACATATATTAGTTCCAACAAAAACGTGCCAGAGATTAAAACAGCAAGGATTAATTATTAACTGACATAATACTCAAAATTTGCTTGCAAGTGATACAGAAACTTATAATAAAGAAATCAAAAATTGTCTTTTTTTTTCCCAGAAAATAAAGAGTGGCTGATCCTTTATAAGTCTGTAGTGCCTGAAATCTGCTTCTTTACAACTTTCTGGCAGAAAACAAACCTAATCTTCTTCCTGCTTGTGTACCTCACAGTGCACAGACTCAGATGTTGTTGTTCCCAGTGCTATTGTCACAATTATATTAAAAAACAATTCCTTTTTATTGGATAATAATGCTTAAATAAATTGAGTTTGCATCCAGAAAATAAAATATCAGTGCTGTGGCCCAAATGATGGAGAACTGATACATGGGTAGGGAGTATGAGAATCAAGCCATGAAAACAACAAACAAAGGAAAATCTAAGTCTTATATTTCAAGTATTTAAAATGTTATTTTGTGTTACTTCTTATTTTAAAATGCTCTCTCAGCAAGCAGTAAACTAATTGGTTTTCATTTAAGTTGGCAACAAATTTCACCTTGTAGTAATCATGTACTGGTATGAAATGAAAGACTATGATCCCAGGAATAAAAGGAAAACATTAGTAATAACTTGTCCTTTAAAAGGGAACACATGTCAAATGTGTGTTTACAGTAGCATCAAAGAACTATGCACACTACAGTGGGACTCCTCTGGGGCCAAAAGGAAAACCACAAGGATGTTCCAAGATCCCAGAAAAGAAAATCCCACTTGCTCTGCTGCACAACAGTAGCAAGACAAGACCTGATCACCTACACCGCTTCCTTCCTAAAAGTATGGCATAGAAAATGGGGCATTCAGAGAATGAGTCGTCAGATTTTTAGTTCTTTTTCATATTCAGTGTGAAGTAATTGCACGACAGATTGTGATTCTGATATCTGTGAGCGGGAATTTTCCAAACTGTGTTCTCAAAGTCCCTCATGGTTGCTCTATGCTGCTGTATGGACTGATTAAGCCAGGGAGAATTTACTCCTTAAGGAATCCATCAGACACTGCCCCAATAGAGAAAAAAATCTACAATAAATGAGAACATTTTAACAATTCAGAGATATTATAGATTAATATTAATGTAAAATAGAACAGACAAATACATTAACTTACCTTTTCTGTTCAGAACACAAAAGATACCACTCTGAACAGCCACAACTAGCTTGAGGCAATTTTCTTAAGCTGATGTTGGAATATAGAATTGTTGTTTGCTCGGCATTATTCAGAATTTATTTTATAGTATGAAACATAATTTTATAATACTCCTCACTGCTAACCATCAGAACTCAAGGATGTCTTGCTGTATTGAATACAACCTGATTCCCTTGGCAATAACAGTAGTGGAAGCTCTGCCAATAAGAAAAGGAGTGGCTTGCACCATGTGAAAAATATTAGTGCCTGGCAAATATTTTCTATCAGAAAAAAGTAAACTCTGTTCATTGTTTACATATATAAATAGTCAGAGTACAGAACAATACTAACTAGATCTTGCAACACTGGGATTAAAGGCTTACAGAAGAATTAAATCACAGTGGAGAACCTTTTCTGCCAAGGAGTTTTTGTTGTCATATTTGTTCTAGCTTTCATTTGTAGCAATTGTTAAAACTTTTTTATGTCTCAAATTCAGGCTCACATTTAGCCCGGTATTGGCTAGTACAGAAGTCATCCATTCTCTCCAAGATTCTCCTGCATTCATGGTCTTTCATTTATTGCTAATGGTCCAGGCTAAGTGAGGTCAAGGGGATCATTTAAATCTAACACGTCAGAAAAATAATAGTGATTTGTTCCAAAAAATAGTAGAGGATATGTACAAGGCAGACAAGCAATCAGCTGCATGATGTGTTTCTAAGAGATGACAGATGCTGAAGGATAGCTATCCACAGCCCAGAAGGTTTGATTCCATTGTATTAGTTTCGTGGTACTTGCCAGTCAACTTCAGCAGTGCATGTGTCTGTGCTCCATGTGTGAGGTTCTCATTGATTGCAGCAGGAGTAATGTGCAAAGAATGAAAGCAGAATATGGTCTGAAGTGGTGCTGAAATACTGCAGCTGTGAAGTGTGACAATAACCATTTTATAAGAGACATAGAAATCTCAGAAATGTTCACTGACCTCTACAGTGCAGCCCAAGTCATCCACATCTTAGCATGAGTACATTATTTAAGCTATGTTATGGAAAAGGTCAGAGACTGAACAAGCTAAGAAGACAGATAATTCATATAGAGCTTCAGAAAAGACTAATATTCTCTGGATGGGTAGAACAACATCACTGAAATCAAAAATCACAATCTTTAGGTTGTTCTAGGTACAAGCTACCGCTGATGACAATTACAGAGATACCTTTGGTCAAAGGCTGTTATATATGTTTCATTAGGGAAAAAATAAATGAGATACATAACTTACTTGCAAGTGAACGAGAGGCCCTTGTTCCTGCTGCATCTCTTGGCACATTGCTCAGTGGTATTTAACAGCTTAGTTTTTACTTCCAGTGTTTTATTTACTTTAATGAGCATCAACTCTCCTGTCTTTTTGAAGTCATGAAGAGGATTTCTCCTTTTTCCTTTACCCTCTAAAAAAGAAGCAAAGAAAAAAAATTAACAAAAGATACAAACAAAAAAACACTATAAGGAGGGTGCTGACATTAAAGTTGGCATTAGATATGGACAACATTTAAAAGGAATTATAGGATCTTCATTCAGTACCTAAAGCATAGAAAATTTCACAAAAATAAGGTTAAAGGAATTACTGAAGAAGAATTGATTACTTTAGATGGTGATCTCCATACTTAAAACCAGAAATAGTAGGAATTTTAACAAAACTAGTTTTAAATAAAGACACATAATGCTGTAAAAAGGTAAGAGGAAGTTTTTCACTCTTTGTAAATTTTTTTCAGACCTCCCAAAATATGTCTGATAATAATCAGAAATCTTGTAAATATTTCCATGAAAAGCTCAAGTGAAAAATATTATCACTAGCTGAATGTGATAAACTGTTCTTAGAAGAGTAAGGTTATCACAAATTGTGAAAAGAAGTGGATTTTGGAAGTGACACAAAATAATCATTTGTCCTCTCTCTGCTCCAGCGAAGTCTCAGTGTGAGTGTTGTGTCCAGTTTAAGTGCGACTGAACTTGAGTTGTTAGCTTACAGAAAAGATTAGGAGGTCAAACTGAGGCCGTAGCATGGAAAGTCTGCTGTGCTGCAAACAGTTCTACAAAAGTGAACACACTGATCTGGTTTCCCTGTCTCTGTTGAAAGGCCCAGAGGAAGAGGTATAAAATGGAGTGGGAAAGATTGGCTGGAGATGTTTGGCTAAAGTGCAAGAGGAATGATCTTTGATATTTGCAAGAAAACCCCAGAATTTTCCCAATATTTATTTATACTTTTACTTAGCATTCCATAAAATCCAACCTGCCAGTGTAGGCTGCTCCATCATCAATGAAGGCAGATAAGTACATCTGGAGAGTAATTGTCCCTATTCTGTCAGATGAGTAACGTAGGGAGGATAAATTGCCTTGGATCTGATTTTCCTATTTCACTCAATGATCCCAGATGATGTTTTTGGATTAGATGGCTAATTCAGGTAAGGTTAGGTGAATAAATTCCTCCTTAGTTTACAAACTAGATAATAGTATTTTCCATAACTTATTTCCATGTAACTGTATTCACAGATGTCCTTTCATTTTTCTTTACAGAATCTGCAACAATAATGGAACACAAATGCTCAGGTGCAAGTCATTACATTTTGCCAGAGTTTTCCAAATATATAAAACCTCAGCCTAGTACTCTGTTATCCTGAATACATAGTTCCTCATGCAAGTGCAGAGTGCACTCAGGCCAGTGAATTTTTTGCTTGGTGCGTTTTGCAGAAGCTCAGAATAACTGTAAAGTGCAATAGCTGAGGCTCTGGAGGAGTTACTGACAGCTCCACATACTGTAAAGCCAAAGAGGGCTTAAGGGTGTTCCCTTTACAGAACTTCCATCCTGATCATTGAGTTCACATTTTCACTTGATGCAGCTAAATCACACCTCTCAGTGGTGAGTTATGCCTAAGACACCTAGAAATACACTAAAGACATCGAAATCAGATCTCATCAAGCTTCAGCTTTTTTTAAAAAAAATAAATATAAGGATTAGAATATCTGTGCTACACTGTCCTTATAAAATAATCTTCACCCCATCCTAGTCTCTTTGGTTTTGAACTGATGAAGGTAAGCTATGCTATTCCCCAGCATCTAATACTCACATTTTTAATTCCAATCACAAAAAATTTAAGAAAAAAAGAATTTGTCTTCAAATCCATGTTGTTATTATTATATGAAGAAGCTTTTGATGAAAAGATCAAATGCTATTAATTTTGGCATTGTGTTAGGGACTCATATCAGCTCTCTTAAGCATTTTCAGCTTTCTATTTGTGCACTACACATGCACCAAAAATGAATCACTATGCTTAGGGAAATTGTCACCATAAGGATCAGCCTCCTGTTACTAGAAACTGTTGTGTCCACATTGAAGCTGCTTTATTTTTTACTTCACCGGTGATAGAGCCAAAGTGCTGCAAAAAGGATTACATTTGCCCTTTAAGTCAGTCACAGAAAAACAAATCTTCTATAAAGCTTTTGTGGTATATTTCTCAATCTATTATCTTCCAAGACATACTTGTTAGTTCTATGTTCTCTCAGCCAAGATTTTTATGTCAAATGGTGGTAAGAATCCGTATAGAAATATCAAAGTATTTTCTTCCAGTTGCTGATGTTAACATTTCCCATCTACTGATAAGTGTCATTATCTTAATTCCCAGTGATAACAGCTTCTTAAACTCACCAGCTAGCATGCAAGAAAATGATTTTAAAAATCAAGAAATTTTGTTCTGCCTGAAAAACACAGCTCATAGTTCTGCTTTTTTTCCCCATCTTTTCTTAGCAGTTGTCCAAAGAGGATTATGGGTTTGATCTTGCATTTAGCAATTCATAACAGCCTGATTTACTTTAGCTTTCAAACAACAACATTCTATGTCTTGCCTATAATCCAAAAGGCAAAGGGCCAAGTGCATCTGTGGTGTGACTGTTAGAAACATCAGAATAATGCAAAGCACAACTTTTACAACTCTCACAACAAAATATACAAAAATAATAGCCTTTTTGTGTCAAAGTAGGTGCTTTTATTATTAAAATGTTAAATCAAATAGCATCTTAGACATGCTCTACTTTAAAGATTAGCATGCAATATGCTATAACTAATGTTCCTGATTTGTGATTGTCATTCATTTCAGTTTCCTAAACTTTGATTAATCGGGACTTTCGCCTATTTTGTGGGCCATGTCCTCTGATGTTTCTTGTAGTTGAATATCATGTTACCGAGAAAGTCTGACATTCCACTTAAATTTGACAATAATAGCAGCTGATTCAGACACAAAGGAATCCAGTCAAACATGAAACCAACATTTTTTTCTTCAACAGAAACAACCACTAACTCAAAATATTTCTTCAGTCAACTTAAAAAAAAACTCAAAAAGGTGAGCGTGGTGCCCTTTTCTATTTCTAAACATGAAGTTGAACAGAAAAGACAAGAGCTCAGTCAGTGCCCGAGGAGATGGAAACTGCCACATTTGCTCTGGTAGGATGCAGCATTGGACAAGTGCTCCATAATCTCATTTGGGATTTCCACAGTCTCCCTGCTGGATCTCTCCCATTTTCATAAAAGGCTTTAAATATTTACTTAAGAAAAAATGTTCCTCACAAGCAAAGTCTTTTACCTGGGAGCTGCGAGAACTCACCTTTGGGTTCCCTTTCTACGTTTTCAAATGAGGTTTCTGTACAATCTTCTCAGATAAGAATCATTGACTAGGACTGCTCAAACTATAATGCACCTGGGGGAAAAGATTTCCAACAATAGCTTTTCTTGGGACAATTCCAGACCGTGTCAAATCAATAATCAGAGATAAAGAAAACTGTCATTCTGCAACATTTTTGTAAGAAAATTCACCAGGAGGTTGCAGTTCCTGTATGCTAGAACCTACTTAACTATGAGGTTAAGTATATTTATACAAAACAGAACCAGTTACACAGAGAACTGAAAGTAATGGACACCATAATATGCAGTATCTTAGAAATTAAGACACTTTCTTGATTAGCAAGAGAAGTAGGTTTGAATCTGCAAAGGTGTTTGCATTTTGATCTCTTCTGCTCTCCAGATATTCTCTAATCGTTGGGCTAATGGGAAAATGGCAGCAAAGTAGTTTCTTTTTTCTCTTCTGGCCTTGAGTCCCACACCAAAAAGGGCTTTGAGGTCCCACACCACCACATCACTCAGCCCTGAAACTGCCTGATTATGTTCTGTATATCAAATTAAAATTCACACTTCACAGAATACAACAGACCTGATACTGAGCTATATGAGAGTCAAGAAATTCAGTATAAATCTAGTTTCATGTCATTTACAGTTCAAATACAAGTTTCAACTTGAACAAATACAAGCCTGAAACTTGAACAAGTCAAGTTTCAGACCCTCAGGTCTTAGTCTGCCACAAAAAAGGATTTTTTGTTTTTCATTACCTCCTTAGTAGTAAAAAACCTAATATAGCAAATACAACACCATTGTTGTGGTAATCAAAATAACATACAGGATGTCAACAGGCCCAAGGATCACCTTTGTCCATTATAATGAGATTAAAACACTACTTGTTTTGTCTGCACAACAAAGTTTTACAAGGAGACTATCTGACTTTATCTACTCAATTGGTAATCCCTTTTTCCTTCCTCTATCAGTCCAGCTTTTTCTAATGTAGATGTATATTTTAGGTTTCAAAGTTATGATCTTACAACTGGAGCATACTGGCTGCATCCCCTAGAAAAATCTCTGCTTCTATGGACTTGCCACAGATTCTACAAAGCTTTTATTAAATAACAGATATGATGCATTTGGCATGTCAACTTCTTGGGCTACCAAGTTTCACTCCAGTATGTGCAAAAGTTAGTACTTTCTTAAAGAAACACATTGTGAAGTCTCCTGATAGTGTGAGAAAGTTTATTCCTTTAGTTTCTTTCAAATTTTGCATCCCACTTTATTATATAGAGCAAACGCAGACACTAGATTTTCCAAATGAGAGGATAAATACACTTAAATTAAATTTTTACGTTTAAATTGAGATTCTTGATAAAAACTTGATGGTTTGGGTTTGAGTTTTGTTTCCCTATTCCATTTGTTTAGACTTGCAGAACTTGAGCATTTACTAAGTAGTTATTTGCTTTGTTGTGGTAAATTTTCAACTGTGTGGGGTAATGAATTAGTTTATTTCCTATGATCACATTTTTTGATACAAATAAGCTGGATATAGGTCTTCATACCACAGATAAAGACCTTTTATAACTTCCAGTTTTGAAAAGAGTATGGACATTCACACAACAGCACCATTGTTTTTCATGTTTGTCAGAGACAAACTAAATCTTTGGGAAAATAAAACAAATCAAGAAAAGTAAGATACTTGAATTTCTTAGGCTAGCAGATACTGTCAAAGAACAGTAGGAATCAACTGCACTCCTTCCAAATGGAGAATGAAATACAAAATAAGAT